GACCCAGAGAAACCAGTGTGTGAAGAGAAGATCCCACTGCCAGAAGAAATGGCAGAAGAGGCAAGAGACTGGTGGTACTACGATGACATCAGTGGAAAAGAGCTTCTACCTGAGAAGGTAGAGAAAGCCAGAAAAGATGAAATCGACATTGTCGAATCAATGGGAGTTTGGGAAAAGATCCCAAGAAGCAAAGTTCCAAAAGGAACCAAAATCATTGGAACTCGATGGGTAGATGTGAACAAGTAAGATGAAACCAATCCTCTCTACAGAAGTCGATTGGTAGCGCAAGAGATCAAAAGAGGCTCAGGTTTTGACGAATTTTTCGCAGCTATGCCGAGCCTTGCAGCTTTGAAGCTACTGCTAACCATCGCAGTCAGCGACAGCCTTCCATTGGAGAAAGGCGAAAGAAGAAAAGCAAAGCAATCTTTCCTAGGATTTTTAGATGTGAAGAGAGCTCATTTCTACTCCAAAGCAACAAGAGAACTCTATGTTGAAATTCCATCAGAAGGCAAGAAACCAGAAGATGGAGATGTGGTAGGAAGATTGGTCAGAAGCCTTTACGGCACCAGAGACGCACCCATGAATTGGGAGCTGACCATTGCAGAGTTCATGAAGAAGCTAGGATTTGTTCAAGGCAAGTCCAACCCATGCATCTACTACCATGCATCCAGAGAACTTCGAACAGAAGTGCATGGAGACGATTTCACGACAGTTGGAAGTTTTGATGACATCAAATGGTTTCACACTTCAGCAGCCAAAGAATGGCAAGTTGTGGAACGAGGCATTCTCGGTCCACCAGGTTCACCAAAGGCAAGCCAACAGATCAGAGTGCTGAATCGCATCATCACCTGGTCAAATGAAGGCATTTGGTGGGAACCAGATCCAAGACATGCAGAGTTGATCATCAAGTGGTTAGGCACTGGTCAACCAGGCAAGGTCAAAACACCTTTGGCCAAGCCAAGTCAAGAGGAACTCCAACATGAAGAAGTTCCGCTGAGTGCCGAAGATGCAACGATGTATAGATCTATTGCTATGAGAGCCGCGTATTTGGCACAGGATCGACCTGATCTGCAAACTGCAACGCGCTCATTGGCACAAGGTCTACAGAACCCAACATCGAGGCACTGGAATATGCTGAAACGATTGGCTCGATATGTCAGGTATCGACCAAGAGTTGCACAGTTGTTTCCAAACCAAAGCACCTGCAACCCCTTCAACATGTGGTCAGACGCCGACCATGCAGGTTGCATAAGGACACGAAAGAGTGTGTCAGGAGGCGTGCTCATGGCCAACAAATGCTGTCTTACAACATACAGCAAAGGCCAAGGAGTTGTCTCCCTGAGCAGTGGCGAATCCGAGTACTACGGACTTGTTTCTGGAGCATGTCAAATGCTTGGAATCGCATCAACAGCAAGAGACTGGGGATTGTTTCCCAGCAAAGAGGTGACAATGGACGCTTCCGCTGGCATCGCCATGGGAAACCGTCGAGGTTTGGGACGAGCTAAACATGTTGACACTCAATACCATTGGGTACAAGAGCGCACAGCAAAGAAAGAGTTTCGTCTCAAGAAAGAAGGCACCGACCGAATGTTGGCCGATGTGCTAACGAAAGCTGTCACCGAAGAGAAAATGACTACAGCCATGAAAGGCATGAACTTCCACTACTTGGAAGGTGAGCATGAGCTGACTTTGAAAGCGTGAACGGCTTGAGCTAGAGTAGGTACTTCTTCAAGACCAAGATGTACTGAAGGGCTACGAGCTAATTCACCGAAGTGCTAATCCTGACTCGCTTAACTTCTGGGAGATGTTAAACTCGGGAGGCGTGATCAGATGTAGCACCAGTTACATGTACATGACATAGCTTGTATAGATGTATGTTTCACTGCAGCCGTTTGTTCAATCCGTTTGTTCGAGTTTGAGCTAAAAGTGGGCCTAAGCTTCTACTACAACCTTTGGGACAGTGACTTGGGGTCACAGAGTTTAAGAGCCTAAATTCTCCGTTCAATATTGGCGGGCAGGACGTTCAGTGCGCAAAAATGTTTCAACAGGGTGGTCGGTTCCTTTCACACGAGCTCCTGGTCCTTGGCCTGACGTTCAACGAATTCTCGTCTTCTATCCTTGGCCAACCTGGCTAACGACCAACCCTTCAAGTTGTTACCGGGCCTTTTGTTTAGCAATGGAGAGCGTGGCTTTCTCGAGCTATCTTTAATTAATTAGAATTTCGCAGTGGTCTTGGTCATCTTCATGTGCCGAATCCACTGATGCATAATGGTATATTATATATATATTATATAAATATGATGTCTTACGGGCATAACGCCACAAATCCGAATCCAAAGGACTCGTCGCATCTCCATGATCTCCGTGATCTGCCGGAACGACGAACCTGCTTGGCCAGGAGGGAACTTTTTCGGGTTTCGCCATGTGGACACGCGTGGTGGTGGACGACCAAGAGGTGATCGAAGTCCGAGGGCAGCCGGACCGGGTGGGACTGGGGAATCGATTCGGTGGTCAAGCAACGGATTTTTGGAAACCCATAGCCACCTGAACAGATGTGAAGAGTTTAGACCGATTCACCTATCTGGCCTTTGACCAATCCTGTAGCCCTATCCATGTCAATTCCAGCTACGTCATGCGTGTGCACCTGCTCAGAAGTCTTGGTTCAAGTCACTACAATATAGACTTGGGCGTTGAACCCAAAAGTCCCGAGGGGAGTGCATTTACTCACTTCCAGCTCGACATCCTACCATCTGACGCATCCGACCCGTCCAAGCGTTTGGCCACTCGATTTGTTTACACCCTTGCGTCTGACTGCAGACAACCGCCGCACTCCAAGGGAGAAAGACACGTTTTTCAAGATGACATAGGACATCCGAATGGACCATTGTCCCGATTGAGACAGACCGTTCAGACTATGAGCTGTGTCTTTCAACCCCACCCACCAAAGAAACGCTAGAAAGTACAATCAGTTTGCAGGACAATGGTCGGACCAGCGACGCAGGACAGCCACTGGGCCTATGTGGTGGCAGTGATGACGCGATACCCACAGTCAGTGGAGCCTGGAACGATCAAATTGGTGACCCGTCTTGCTCTGAGTCTTAGCTTCGCAAGCTTCGGCCGAAGCTTCGGCGGAAGCTTCGGCTGTGTCGTGACCGAACCTTCCAACAGTACAGTGACAACAGAAGAGCCATTTTTAGGACTGAACTGACCAACGAATCTGAAGGCCTAGTCCCGGCCGCTATTTTTGTGCAACCACTTCTGAGCCAGAATAGGGCATATAGACCCCCAAACAGGTAGAAAAGTGGGCCACTCTTCTACTGACCATGGTGCAATTCTATCGACCCGGTGACTACGTCCACTGCCAGTTGGTGTCACACGCAGGCCTTTCCCATTCCTGGAGCACCGCTCCACCCAGCCGCTGCTTGTCGAGCCCCGCACCGAGCCGTTGGCCCAAGTGTCACCAGGCTCCAGATCCACCTCAGGAGATGCCAAGGTTGGGGGCAGAACCAGAACCATCCAGCACACGGAGACCAGTGAGACCTGACCCGCCCTGCAGGTTTGGACCCAGCCAGTTCCCATGGGAACTGGCACCAACGCACGGATGTCCCACCCAGTTCGGCCTTGGAACCCAACCCCATCGATCGGTCGGTGAGCAACCCCGGGGTCGTGTCACCTCGCGAGCGACGCGAGGTGAGTGAGATCGACTATGATGCTTCGCCGGTGAGCTACAGCTTCAAGGCAGAAGTGCCCTGACTGATCCGCCCAGATGGCAGTCGACTACTGCACGGAAGGCGCTGGAAAAGAGCGCGTCGAGGCGCTGTGGAGAGCAGAGGCTCTTGCTATAGAGGTCTCTAAGTGGAAGCCGCTTGAATTGGTTTGGGGTGTGCATTTTGGAATCTCATCCAGTTACACCGTCGTTGGATCCGATTTCACCGTACCTGAGGTGAAGAGTCAAAGTCCACAGGCTCCTGGATTGGGGATCCGTGGTTGGTGTGTTGAGAACTTCCTTCCAACAATGTGCCGGAGTTTCAAAAGCCTGGCTGGTAGGTTCACTTGCAGGATTCCCTACAGATGTTCCTGGCCTGGCGCGGCAGCTCCTGCCACCAACAACTTGAGAGCCATGACTTATGATACTTATGGATCTCTATTAGGCACCCCCTGGGAGGTCTAGGTTGAAATGAAGATGGTGGTTCAGTTCATGAAGGTTAGTTCAGGTTGATGGTAACCCGTGAGAACCCTGCAGCAGATTCATGGTGGCCCAGGTTTGGCGATTTTGATTCATATGGCAGTTCTTGAAGATTCCTCTCATGTTTGGACTGCAGGGTGGATCTCAGGACCCTCCGCGTCGTCCCCAATGTGGACGAGCAGTGCACTGGCTGGGTGGGGAAAAGCCCTGTCCAGTCATCGTTTGGTATTTCTGATGTGCGTAGATGATGATTTTTTCAAGGGATCTTTGGGAGACTCAGATGCCTGGTGAGCTCATGTGAGCGGTTGGGTTTCTTTGGAGCTCAGTGCATGGCCAAGAATGTTTAAGATTTCCACTTATGCAATTACTCGTGGAAATAGTTAGCCTTCCAAGAGCAAGAGAGCTGCTTTCTGAAAATCCATGAGCAAACCAAAAGTTATTCTGTATGATCTCAATGGTTTGAGCCTTGGCCACTTCACAGTGCCCATGCTGCGTGGAGAGAAAAGGCGTACAGATGGGATCACTGAGTTTAGATGTCCTCCTCCTTGCCTGCGGTGAAGGTAATAACACTGAGTTGGTGGCAAAGAATCCTTGATATAGCCGTGCTGTTTTGCTCGAAGTGGTTCATGAACGAGCTGAGAAGACTCAGTCCAGCCCTTCCAAAGAACTCTCACACATCTCGGAGTTGACTCATTGTGGATAGCCCCCTTTTATAAACCAAGACAACTCCAAAGCCTTAGCCAACCGCTGACCACTGGGCTCATAAAGACACCACGTTATTGATCGTTATTGGGCTCCCTTGGTTTCCATCCAGGCAGACATCAACTACGCCTACCGGCAGCTGTCTCGAGCTCTGCATCCAGACAAGAACCCCGACATCCCCGAGGCGAACGCGTCGGGATGAAAGGAGGGAACTGGTCAGACTCTTAGACTCGCAGAGGGTGGTAGACGAAACGACCTCATTGGATGACTTCGACTCCAATCTCGATCATGGAATATGTAGACAAGTGTGGATAATTCATGGTGGATTCAATGATGATCAATGGGTTCTTTCCTTTCAATGGGCACCTCGAACATGGAATCCCTGGTGTAAGTGTTGGATTTGTTGGGGGGGCCGGCCAATGCAGTTGTTTGAGTAAAACATTGGAACAATTAGGTAAACCATACGTAGGAAACCACCCTTTGCAAATATGTCGGGTCGGAGAAGGATCAACCAGCACCCTACAATGGGAAAAGCGATCAACTAGACACCGGTTCAGCAGGGTGTTGTTCTGCTGAACGACCCGGTTCAGAGCTTTCGTTTGTGTCCTGTTCCTTTCGTCTGTGTGTTGCTTCGACATGGCATCGTGGGCACCATGGAAGACCGTTGATAGAACACCGTGAAGGAGGTTCTACAATCATTTATTTAAAGGCGGGGTTAATTGATCAACGTTCCGGATTACCGGAAGATCAACCGTTGTGCTTTCGTTTCTTGGTGCTGTCCAAGCACTGTTGGTGGAGCAATTGAGTTTGCAATTGATTAATGACACGGGATAAGTATGTTTATAAGTAATGCCAAGGGTTCTCGCTCATGCAGCCATTTTTGCGCAAGATGGTCCAAAAAAACAAAGCCATCCACGTCGAATGAGACTATGAAGGAGTTGTGGGATTGCTTCATGACTTCATGACTACCACCCAACAACATCATTGAAGATGGTTGAAGACTTGAAGACTTTTGATACTCCAAAGAATTAGGTTTCTCTTTGATAACAATGTTTCTCTCGGAGATCATTGCCAGCATTTCTGAACACGATGACTTCTTTGCGCCCATAACAGAAGGCACCAGCATAGCCAGTGAATATGGGAATTCAGAGATGGTGCCGTGTTTTTGCACTGGGTGCTTGTACGATGGCACTGTTCCTTTGCTGCTCGGCATCGGAAGCGTGGCTTCTTCCGCGCAAGACTGATGATCGATGATGATGACCTCCATCGTTGGCCTTGAAAAGCCCTGGGTTGTTTCTTTTCTCGGAGCGGAGACCCTGAAGCGTACAACCAATAGGTCAATGGTACCAAGCCAAACCCTCTATTGCTCCCAAAAGGGCATCATTGGAGGCCCCAATCCTTTTGGGCTCAATCGCGGAAAGTCTCATCCCAGTGCTGCGAAAGTCCCACACATGCCATGTGTTTTTTTAAAAGCAGCCAAAGCAGTAATACAGTGAGGACCTCACAGCTTCGATGGCAGCACCCCAAGTTTGGTGGGTCAGATGGACCCCACAAAAGACGAACCTCTACCACTGTACGTATGTATTGGTTTCGGTTCTTGGACTTCGCTTTATTAACCCTCAAAGCTTTTCATCACAATCTTGGCCCTTTTCATCGCGCTCAAAACCCTGGCTATAAGGATCCATGAACCGTTGTGCCTGCACACAGAGGCCCCCCAAACGAGCAGAACATAAAAGATCTGTACTGATATTGATGCACAAGCTGAGGCTTGCGAGAACCGGGGATTCTGGGCGGCAAAGTGAAAAAGCCCTGTTGGCATCTGAAAAGCCATGCTGATTTTCTCACCCAGCATGTTTTTATTACATACTCATTAATAGCAATATAGGAGCAACCATTACAGTATTCATCTCCAGTCATGATCAACATCATTTTGGGGTTTTCGTGTTTCCAGTCAAGTGTTTGAGCCCAAGGACGAGTGCCGGGGTCCAAGAGCCATCGCAATTTCCACCAACGAGCTCCACAAGCTCAACAACAACCACACGGCAGAAAGGCTTCACGAAGCTGGAAGTTCTGCCTACACTTCACGAGACCCTGCAAGAGACCCACCAGCCATTTCTCCGATCTCCGGTCTCCTTGCGAGAGAAGAACTTCATCATTGCAGGTGACTCAAACGATCAGCGATTCTTTGTGATTTTATGTCGACGCTTGACTGGGCGCTTTGATCCAATCACATATATCGAGAAGGTGGCCGTCCAGAAAGGTGACTTCAATGGGAGCATCATGTGGCCAGAAGCAGCTAGGACCCAATTCTGTCATGATCGAGAAAGAAATCTTACGGTGATGTTCTTTTTTCATTATGGCTTATTCAGCCTCTTACCTCAACCCCACTGGTACTTAGACTTTGCCAAGAGGAGGGCTGAGACTCACTACCCCTTATGGCGGCGCAAAAGGTGGATGGCCCCAAGCACAGACCTGGCGCAGTTTGTTTGGCCTGATGTGATTCAGCAGCTCCTTCCCAAGAGGCCCTTGATACTTTTGCTGCAATCCTCCATGTGGGACAGCATGGCCGTCCTGGAAAGTTTGGTTGGGACACGTGTCTCACAGATGAAAGACTCCGATCTGCAAAGACTCGCTGCAGCGCAGCTCTCCGAAGCCAACTTGTCCCAGTGGAGCTGGTTAGACCGAGCCAGCAGCTTCCTCCAGTCCTTCCAGCAAGGCATCTCTGCACAAAATCTCTCGGTGCAGGCCACTCTTTGGCGGACGAATCCCAATTGTCCGGCCGAAGCACAGCAGGGCTCTGTGGTGATCAACCGGCTCAGCGGACTCTTCGCAGAGGCCGTCAGGGGCGCGATGCTGAAGGGTGGGCCTTGGTCGCAAAGCTGCCTGGTGGATTGGAGGAAACACCTGGAGATTAAGAGTCCAAAGCAATGTGATCATCATCACTATACAAAGGAGCCCTGGATCTTGGCTAAGGAAGTGTGATGCATTTAGAGATTGAGTGAGTAGAGATAATATGATATAATATAAGTTGTTCCTTTTTCTGGATGTTCGTCCTTCAGCCAAAGTTAGTTTTCCCAGACACTCCATCTATGTCATTATGTCCAACGCGCCTGCAAGGGGTTTTGCGGAAAACGTGTCCCGAACAAGTGAACCCCGTGTCCCGTCCCATACGCCGAGACACACACCGAACAGCTGAAGCGCGCCGATACACCGATACATCGATACGGGTTTAGGGTATCGATCCTGGCGTCTCGTCGTGGGTGGCGTAATAGAAACGCCGTAGGTCGAAACGCCGTAGGCGTCCAACAGCGCGTAATCGGTGTGCCATGGCGTCGAACAACACTTAAGGACACAGTTCTGCCTGGCACGCCAAAATATTTTACATGGAGGTGTTTGGGCTTGTTTGCTTGTGGTCATGTCATGTTCGCTTCCAAGAACATCCAAGAACGCAGTTTCTCAGATTCCACCCTGTTTGCAGGAGGGCTATGAAGTCCTGATGTCCGTGCTGAAAGAGTGTGTCTCATTCGTCATGGCGGAAGAAAGAGCTGTTAGCAAGGGTGGCCAGGGCACCAAGAAGATAACACATGTTCAAATTTGTTTTGAGAACGAATGAGATCCTTGTAAACAAGGTGCCTCATGCAATGAGGCTATTTGTATTGTATCCATATTTGTTGACATTTGTTGAAGGATAATGTTTTTGGAAGGAACTGATCTTCTAAGAAAGTCAGCTGGAACCCCAAATATGCAGTTTCTTGACCTGAACTCCTGACAAGAGCACTCAAAAGGTTAACACATGGCAGGGGGATAGCAAAAATTCAACTGCTGGCCAGGTGGTAAAGTCATCGCCGTACAATCATGTTCATTGGCAAACAAAAATCCAATCCCAATCAAGGACAAGTACGCCCCAACAGCTGGGCTTCAAACGAGGAGCTCTTCTGCAAGCAGTTGGAGCTGCAGATACTTACAGCTGCTACCCGTGACTGCAGACTATAGTGACTAAGATGGCAACCCCGTCCCACCTAGGCCCATACAAAACATTACAAAACGATCATTGAAGACTGGGTGACACCTGCAATGTGAAAACCAACCAAGAAACATCCAACAGTCTTTGATTTATTTATCTCTATCTACATCTATTTACCATCTACTGGTACCAGCCCTTACGGACGACGCGTCCAGCACAGGCGCACGACGCCTTCAAGCGCCTCACGGACGCTGCGGCGGAGCTGAAGGAAGGCCGAGCTGAAGGACTATGGCCATGTTGACCACTTGGATGTGGGACATGTTCTGTTTCTTTTTCCTCGGGCGAGCCGACGGGTGTTTTTTTCCAAAGCAGTGGTAGGTGATGATGTAGAGTCTTGAAATAACACCTCCACATTTGGATTGTACAACCTCCTCATACGTATGAATATGTATGAATCAAGAGTCCATATGATGTGTTTTTTTGGTGTTTCAGAGGCCTGGAAGTATTTAACATGTTGGAACCTCCCTTGGTCCCCTTTGGCTATCCGTCCCAAGAAGCCGAGCTCGCCAAAAAGAGTTCCTCGATGTTCCTCAACACAACGCTCCGTGCTTCTTGAGCGAGCTCGCGTCGCGTCGCGTCGTGCTTGCGTGCGTGCATGCCCACGCAAGGCTTGGAAGAGCAACGCTCCGTGCTCAGGGCCGCTCCAGCTGCAAGATGGTTCAATCTTCACCAAGGGCTGACTGATGAGGGCTTGCAACGATCTCGGCCAAAAAAGTGGGGATGGGTCATTGTTCAAGCTGGAGCCCTGGTCAAAATCCATGTAGCGAACGAAGATATACCCCAACTCCCTGGTACCCACCATTGGTGAAGGACCACGGGAAGCGCTAGCCTGGATGCGCAAGTGACGTCGGTAGGTCAACCGGTCGGTCTCCTGGTTTGGACCCGCCATGTGTGGGGGCTGCGGAGGGTGTGCCACTGGGGCAGCTCGAAGAGTGCCGAGTGATGCCTCCACCTGGTTCCTCCACACCTGGAGAGCAATATAGAGCAATTGAGCCAAGACGATGGGTGATGCCACGTGCAGATGCACGGCTAGTCTCATGGAGAGGGCGAGAGAGAGAGAGAGAGACACTAGGTCACTAGGGACAGACATGGGCATACATTGGGCTAGTTTTAGGTTGCTTTTTTCCCCAGTATAAACGACCACAGTCCTGTTCAGAGGACGTAGCAAGTCCTGTTCAGAGGACGTAGCAGATGTGTTTCTCGGTTTTGCCGAGCCTTTCTGAGTCGATGGACGTTGCACAAGCCACCGGGTGTTACAGTTAAGGCTCCATGTGTCCTTTTTTGCATGCTTACTTGCTTATTAGCTTAAAGTTCGGGGTTGCGAAGCAACCTGGAGTGCATCTCCACCATCCCAACCTGGGTTTCTTTCACAAGCTGGGTGGTCCACAAATCACCCCAAAGAAAGATGGTGCTGGCCCTGGCCCTACCATTTTTGCTGGTAGTTCCAGAAAGTAGTCGTAGGGTTCACATGCTGCGTTCAAGACCGTTGAGCTCCCCAAGAGGTATATTTTTCTTAGAAGATCTTAGAAGACCCCTTGAGACTGCATGGTACATGGCCCGTAGCACAGTCGCACCTCGGGTGATCGTGCAAGTTCTGCATTTGATCGTTTGATCATGTTTGATCAATCCTGAGCCACTCTAATCCATTGGTTGGGAAGCCCCCCCCTATTATTGGAATACCAGGACCCTCCAAGGGGCCCTGTTTGGAAGCCTATAGGTAGTGTAGGGTAGTTCATTAAACACCCCTTGGAGGGTCCTGGTACCAAGCCATGTGAAAATATCCATGATGATTCTTTCGCTTTGATCTTGAGGCGTGCGCATGATGGCCATGCTCCGGGTTCCGACTCCGGGCGAGCTCTCTCGAGCAGATTGGAATCTCTCAGTCAGCGCCCAGTCAGCAGGCACAACCAGAGACGCTCCCCAGGCCATTTGCCTCGTGATGGGCGTGGTGGTGACGCCCGAGATGACGGAACGACCGCAAGAGGCGCTCTTCGCGGAGGCGGCGAGGGGAGATGGGGGATGGGCCGGTGGAAAAGGGTGGCTGCCTGAGGCCAAAGTAGATGAAGTAGATTATATAGATCTAGATGATTTTCTATAATATGTTATTTGTGCATAGGAAAAATATCAATCATGTGTATACTGTAAACATCTGTAAACTGTATATCAGTATTCCACATCACGAAAGGTAGCTTGAGCTACCTGAGTTCTCCTTGCTTTAGCAAAAATGTATTACAATCAGGAGTTGGGATTGTGCATTGAGTTTGGTCCTGTAAGAGTTGATTCTGTTCGTCGGGGGGGGGGGTGCCCCCCCCCTGGATCAAATCCCCCCTGCGCCGGTTCACGCCGTCATGGACTTTTACCAGGGTTGCTTGTGATTGCCTGCTACCTTTCGTTCACCCCCTCCTCTCTCAAGTACTCAAGACTAAAGAATGTTAAATGCGCTCAGATTGAGTATGCAGACCTATGGACCGTCTACCGGAAAAGTCGTGCACTTGGTGGGAGCAGCTGATGCGGCGAGGTTGCAAAGTGCACCCAAAAGCACCGCACACCACTCTCAAAAGACACCACCATGGGCCAAGGAGCACCCCACATCGAAAGGAACGGTCACGAAAGGAGGCTGTTCTGGTCTTCACTTGGACAAACTATGGCCTATCTATTTGGACGGTCCAGTGTTTAGTTACCTAGCTGTCAGCAATGCCACTCTACAAATCGGCAGTGATTTGTGAGGTACAGATTTCGCAGGATGATTGCACATCAACTGTCAATCGCATCGAACATGTCAAGTTTCTCTTTCGGTCAGGGTTGATGTGGACACTGCTAGACTTCACACTTGGAACTGTCCGGACGCTGCAAGGGAAGTCTGTTGGACTTGTGCCCCGAGACCACAGAGTAGCAGAAGAAGCAGCGATGGATTCCAGTACTCGAAATTCATGTCACAGGAGATCCCCCCGAAAGTGTCGTGGGTTTGTGTCCTATGATTCTGAGGAAGTTTACTTGGACCCAAGCTAACCTGGTAGATGAAACAAATCACGGTCCTAGCTTTGTCTTTCATAGCGAAACGCCAGAATGCCATCAGAATGCCGACAGTGTAGCACGCTTTCCCACTCGCGAATGCGCAGGCCACCAGGCTCTTGCACGCCGTCCTGGCTCTAACTGGAGAGGGGGAGGTGCAAAGTGCCCTTTCAGGGCACAGAGGGTTTCGTAGTGAAATGGTTTCAGGACCTGGAACCACGACATGCACCATTCCAAGGCAGAAAAGATACACCCACACACCCTGCGGTGCAGGGTCTAGTCATTGAGGCCGTTTGAGTAAGGCGGCAAGACTCTAAACTCAAGCTGTGGGAAATAGTCTAGAGATAATGGGGGTTGCTTTGAACATGATCCCAGACCAGCATTGCACAACTACTGATACCCTCTCTCCCCAAAACAAACATTAGTCACTTAGGTAGAGCAACTTCATCTTCAAAACCCTCCTGGAAGCAGCTAATGCTAGTGATATGTTCCCGAAGGACCATTGGCACCGCCTGCCAGTGTCAACACCTGCGTTTGCTGTTTAGAGCCGGGAACTGAAAGAGGCCGCTGCCATCGAATCCATAACTCCAAGAACCTAAGAAATGCGCCATGTTACTAGTTACTAGTAACTTCTTGTTACTAGTAGCAAGGTGCCTTACTAGTATAGTAACAACTACTATTAGTAAGGCACCTTGCTACTACCCGCTTCTTGTTTCTGTTTTTTTCAGCTGCGTCACAACTTCACTTTGCACACCAATCCCCGGTTGCATGAGGACATTCCCTGGACATGAATCTCAACTTGTATCCTTCCTACGCGCAAGTGCCATCTACCTCACGCAAAGCTTCCACAACAACACGCCAGGCAAACCCCAAATGATCCTTTTGCATTGTTTGGGTTGGACATGGTTGGACAAATCACTTGTTTGAACTGCAGTTGGCCCTGGCTTCCACAACTGCTTGGATTTCGTGAACCTCAAGGGTTCCGTACACTTGCTAACAAGACCGTTTGACATTGGACAGAACCTACATATGCAGTGGTTTCAGAGGTTCGATGGCACAAGTTACCCCAAGTTTGGTGGTTTAGATGGACCCCTTGGGTTCCAGCGCCATCAAACCTCTGAAAACCCACTGTAGATTACTTCATCTTGGGCGCCTTTCGCCTAAATGGCGGGATTTTGCCGTGGATTAGGAGCAGATTTGCAGGGCTTGATGGAGTGGGTTTCACCCTCGACTGATAAATCCCATGTGAATCCTTGTCCAATCAGTGCCGAGAATAGGACAGACTCAACATGGAAGAGGTTAGTAGAATTGTCACCGCGTTCGAACATTTGAGCCTTTACTAGCCATTATCACTGGCCAGTAGGTGTTGACCAAACATTGTGCACATCAAAACCAGAAATCACTACAAGTTACACGGTAGCGTGAGAAGACGATCTATTCCTTTTTCAGTGGTGGCTATTGACAGCGTCTCCAGTTCTTCAATTAATGTCAATGTCCTTTATGTTGAACAGTAGTGGCTTGTAGGAGAGAATGAGTCTCATGTCCATTTGGTTACCTTCTGTCTTGAGTGTGGCAAGTGGTTCCTGTGGTTGAAGGAGAACATCCACCCCCACATGACAAACCCTCTTTCTTTCAAGCTGTCCATGCATAAGGGCTTGGCAGGGTATGAGGAAGTGCCCCGAACCTGAACCTTCTTGCATCCATACACAAATCACATATCCATTCAAACAATCGGTTCCAAGAACCGTCAATCAAACAATATCAAACATAAATCCGACATAATGGACCATCAAACACCTGCCAACCAAACCCCCCCCACACCGAAATCACCGTGCGTCCTGCCGCGAAAACCCGCGCGCGACCGGTCGCCACCGCGCGGGTCGCGCGGAGCCTGCGACGCCGGGCGGAGCCGCCCTGTGCGGGCCCTGCATGAAGTTACAGGGCTGGCGATCTGCAGGTGCCTGGGCCGGCGTTGTCCCGGTCTTTGGTGGCTCGGGCACCCAGTTGAGGTGTTCTGTGGAGTGGAAGAGAGTGACTCGGAGTTGTTGGGGAGGTTCGAGGATGAGCGGAAAGATGAAAGATATGACAAATTATGACAATATATACTAATACGCTGAAGTCGACAGGTGTTATAATGTTTTTATGGTTTATGTTGTTTTAAATGATGTTTTATGCCTCACCACGCTCAATTTTAGGGATGAAGGAGACGTCGTTTTCAAAGCGCCGGTCCTGGCGCCAGGACGACTTTCCGGGGCTTCCGGAAGTCTCACGGAGAAAAGGCTCCACAGGTCCATGAGCCCGGATTCCATAGGTCCGCTCTTTTTCAGATTGGAGGGTAAGACGCAGTCATGTGCCGTCTTAGACTGGCATATTGACCGACAATTGGGGTGGTTTCACGGATCAATAGTAGTGATTCCACTCATCTCTACCCCCGGCCCAAGTGGCAGTTCACCTGCAAGACTCCTTCCCTTCCAATGTGGGGGCAGATGAGGCTGACGGAGCTGGGCAAACAGTGTTCGTTCCATGTGTGCCCCAACTACCTCCGTTTCGACGATGGTTGGGGTGGCTGTGAGGGGGTCCTAATCACCTTCTGAGAATATGGTTGGAGACTCCTAGGGGTGGATGTCCTCTTTTTGTTCTGGCCATGGATTTGTGCATGGCCTCCCCAGCCCCCCCTCTGGTGCCTTCCGAGTCTTAAGGACTTTTGGTGTCAATCCAAGGCCTTCACCGCGTCCACCAGTTGGACGAACTGCCGACCGCAAGTCGAAGCCTCAGACCTCGAGGAACCACGTGGAACCACGCGAAGAACACCGGTCGTGGCCTGGGCGAGGAACAGGATGGGAAGACTTGGTTTTTGGGGATCTCTCCTGATGGAGAGACTTGGTTTTTGGGAGCTCTCCTGATGAGGTTAATCACACTATTTGGTCCACAGACCTTGCTGGGGGGTTGTTCATCGGGTGGTCAACCGTGCACACCTCGACTGAGAGTTTGTTGACAATTTTAGGAGATCTATACAGAGAGAGAGAGAGAGAGTTTGAAGCGGATTGAAGCCCCTGTCATATCACGTACCGCTATATTCTGCTGGTTCCCCTAGGGAGGAACACTACGCCACAGAACAGACCCTGAAAAGAAGAAAAACACACATTGCGGCAAACCACCGACGTTCAGAAAAACGGCAACCCATCTCCGTCGGTTTACGCCTTCGATCCACAGATCCTCGAACCCCCGGGAGCGGGTTTCCACCGTCTCGGGTGAAGCACCACGCGCGTCCCGGCGGAAGAAGACGACGGCCACACGGCGTCCCAACGCGTCCAGACCAAGGTCTTGCTTTCGGAATGGTTCGACTCCAATCGCTTGTTGGACCTCTTTGGTTCGGCCTCGCTACGCCCCTCGGAACCGGTGGGGGCGGACGAAATGGGGCGAGGATGGGGCGGCCATCGTTGGGTCCTTGTCCGGCAGGGGCAGGCAGTTCAGAGGCTATTAATCCATAATTAGGCTTAAGGGTGATCAAACCCTCGGCTGCTTTCAGGGATTCATGGAGGATCATCTTTTTTTGGGGGTGAATTCAAAGACGCACCTTGCCTTTAACATGTTTTAACAGTGTTTTTGTGCCCTGCTGAGGTAGCAGCTGGACAGAGCAAAACTTTACTTTGTCACGCTTTGTGCAGGATTTCTATGGATTTGCCATGATTTGCCCTGGTTGATGGTATGTTAGCTATCTTTGCTCCTGATTTTATGCAGGTCGTATAATTATGCATCTTGGCAGGAGAAACACCAAGGGCGCCCCTGGGCAGACCCCCTTTCGGCCGGCTTGGCGCCCCACGTGGGGCGCGAAGCCCGAGGCACGGCGTATGATTGCGCCCCACGGCGGTATCGAGCGCAGCTTGGACGGTATCGACTCGTGGTTCGACAGTTCGACCCCAGCGGGCGAAGGATGAGAATTCACCGCTGAGTCCTATAGTAGCTTCTTGTCCTATAGTAGCTTCATGTTTCTTCTTGTTATAGTGATATGTAGTGATCGTATATTCGATTATATTCATAGTTGACCAGGGATTCACCACCACTAAAGGTCTCACCAACTAGACCATTGCTAGCCACCTCCACCTCCACTGCGACCACAATGACCTAACCGACGGCCCTTACGTCCGTGTCTCCCTGCTTTTTGGAGCGACACAGGGGGGCTCGCAGAGCCAGTGCCATGGACCCGGAGATACCCGGAGGTATTTATCAAGCGAATCAAAGATGGATAATGTTGGATGACCTCACCGGATTCCGAACTGTGAAGAAACTTAAATGGATACAAATGCAGTCAATTGGCCAAGATCATCAACTTGATGTTTTAAAGACTTTGCCGTTGGGTTGCCATGCGTGAAAGGATTCAGTATGATTCAGATGAGTCGTGCAGTTGCTGAACATCGGGACGTGAACGCCGTTGGCATGTGCCAAGAAGGCAGGCTACGGTCGCCTCATTGTTTAACCCAATATGCTTTCAACATGTGTCAATCATGAGGTTTCAGGAAGCTGCACCCCCCCCCAAAAAAAGGCAAACAAACAAACATGTGCACACACGCATCTCGACTCCTTGTCCGAGGCAATTTCTTTGCGCGCTCAATCGTACCACTATGGCAGAAGCCAAGAGGAGCCAGGGGATGTTGGGTATCGCCAGGGGATGTTTGGTATCGCATGTATTGGTCGGTGGGGTCAAAATAACCAGCATCCAGAGTTGCTCATGATTGCTCATGGCTGCATCGAAAGCATCCACCCATCGAAAGCTGGCAGGACCACTCCAGGGGTGAATTCACCCGAACATTTGTCACCTGGGTTCGGGACCACATGAAGCACACACCTTTTGAAGCTCTCAGCCTACATAGGTGGGAAGTTCCATGCCGCAAGCAGCAACAGATGGGCAAATGACTAGCACAAGTAGGAATATAGCGGCATTTGGTGAACCCTTGGAAGCATGCCATCCCAGAGAAGCACCTCGTACCATTCGAATGGAAGGACAAGCTAGGTTAGGATGGCAGTCAGGTTAGGTTTTTGATGGTTTTTGGCACTGGCCCGAGGCTTATATATATATATAAGTTGCCTGACTCCCAACGAGGCGCTCCAGGTGGCTAAAACACACTTTTGACTTCAATGTTTGTTGCCATCCATTCGTGAGCCAACTATCCATATTTCAACTTGTGTCCTGCCAACTCTCCAAAGACTATCGTGCCAGACCAAACGGGTTTTCACTGTCATCCATCAGGGGCAGTCCGACATTCTTCGCCCAACATGCTGGGGGTTGAGGACATGCTGGGAGAAGCTTCCCCGTAACTTCCCCAGCTTCCCAGCCTCCGATGGGAGAAGTACACCGAAGCTCGGAACCCCCCAAAAAGGAACAACGATTGCGTGCGCGGAAATTGGCATCCAGTGAGGGCGGCCCAGTCTCCGAACGGGTGGGGCCAACGAGTGGAGCTCGGAGCGGTATGTTCAAGGCTAAATAGGCAGCCGAAAGGTCCTGTTGAAGCCGAGGAGACGCTTCGGCCATGTTCGGCCGTGTTTTTTTAAAGATAAGGGGACACTGCACTGAAAATGAAGATAATGAAGCCAGTCGGCTGGCAAGCCTAGAAATTCCACTGAGGAACTGCGTCTAGCTTGGTTTCGGACCTGCGTTGTTTGCATGCCAAGATGCTGAGACTGCTTAAGGTGGTCATTCGCTACGAACGGAGCGATCGGACAGGGCTCCTGGTCTTTTTTCAGGGATATGTCCGGAGATCGACTGCCCGGAATCGTCCATTACGGCATGGGACATACTAATATATTCTATAGATCCCAGACACGACCTGTCTGGGACTGCCATTGATGCCCACATTGGGGTGGTTTGGGGGGTGTCAATGGGGCAGCGAAGAATTATGGCAGTCCCGCCCCCCTGTCGGCCATATTCTCTCCAAGCCAGGTGCTCCTTGACCGCAACCTTGGGGGGACACGGTTTCGCCTGATCGTCCATCTCACGATATGGACACGCCCTGTCATTGGGGCTCCGGGATCCAGGAGACAGTCCAGGCTGTTGAGGTCTCCGTTTTGACGCCAGGAACGCCTGAGGCGTGCCTGAGACATTTTCACAAAAGGGGTGATGAAGTTCTTGTGTTGCCAGGAACCTTCTCAATGCTGGTGTTACAAACCATCACCAAAGAACGGTTGGCACACATATATACACATACAGAATCATACAGAGATACAGATTAAAGTAAATTGCTATTATACTATATGTATAATATAAGTTTTATATACCACAACCGTCCATTGGTGATCAAGAACGCCATCCAATCTTTTGTTGTCTCATTTGGGTGATCCATCCATCCACGAGGGCGGGCGCCGGAAGCGTGCGAAGCGTGCGAAGCGTGCGATCGAAGCTGAGGTGATGATGCAATACCCGGAGATTGCGCTGTGGCGCGACCTCCGGGACAAGATCAAGTCGTGGGGCCCAGCGGAGAAAAGGAGATGAGGTGGAGATGAGGTGGATAGGACAATTTGATGGGCCAAAGATGGAAAAGGGATGGAATTGCTCCAAGAGGCTCAGAAACGAGCTCGGGATTCTCCAACATACTGGAAGGTGTGCATGAGCTCACCTTACAGCACCCAATGCTTCAAGCAGCAGCACTGGCAAAAGCCTCGGAGTCCAGGCCAATCCAGAATACCTTATTAGCTGGATGGGACGGCGGTCGATGCCCTTCCTCCCAGAACATCGCCACAAATCCTGTGCCATGGGAGGATTTTGTTCAATGCTTTTTCACCAAATCCAAAGGCGCCTCCAACTTCACTTTCCACACCTCGGCAGACGATCCTAAATTCACCCTGAGATTTCGCTGGTTTCCTCATGTTGCGATCCTCTAACAACCCCGTGGTTTTCATAATCCATGTGGGTCTCGGAACCACAGACGCGTCCCACCGCTGCGCGAAGCCAAGCATCGCCATCTCCCGAAGGCTCCGCGTTTGGACGCCGGAGCCCGTCGAGGAGAAAACCAAGCGGCGAGGCCCGGGCGCACGTGCTGACTGCGCGCACCAGCAGCAGCAGACTGTGGTTTTTTTTGTTGTTCTTTTTGGGGGGGCGGGTCTATTCGCACACCCACTGCCCCCTTTGGAATCCATTGACTTGACCTTGACCCTTGGTTAATTAAGAAGTACTGGGAGGTCATCACTTGGTTTGTTCTACTGACGTTCAGATGCTTTTCATGTTCAGATGTTCGAGATGTTCAGTGTCTTGGGCCCATTGCGAAAGTTGCATGTGCCGGGTGAAAGCTGGGAGGGTCGACCCGGTGCTTTTTTGGCCCCGCGCAGTGAGAGACAATTCTGCGGAGGTGGTGGTTCCTGTGGACCTTCCTGATGTTCAGAGGTTGTTTGACGAAGTAAGAACTCGTTGAACAAGGTTTCAAGCAATGGTCCAAGCATCCCTTTGAAGTGAGCAAACATCATTTTGCAGGTTAAGTTGAACTGGTTGACCTCAAAGTCCGCAAAGGGGTACGGTTTAAGCTTTTGCAAGCTTTTGTCCTCAATCCATTGCTCAAGCGGGTGTGGGTGAGAATAGCCTCCCCTGAAAGTACAGAAGATGGCCTCAGAGGAGCTCTCATACCTCCTGTTCGAAAAGAACATGACGCAACCTTGGAGCTCCCTTTCCACTTTGCATTGCAGTGCCTCCAAAGCTCAGTCCTTTGACTTTCCTTCTCCCCAAACACTGCGGCGCAGCTTGGGTCTTAGAGTCTTCGAGTGCTTCCCGAACCCTCCACGGTATTGCAAAGCGGCTGAGTGTAGATTTTTCACGAACCCGCTGCCAGGCAGCATGTGGGATGACGAGGAGATTCAGCCAGTGATCATAAAAATGGGCAAACTATATATACAGTATACTTAAAAACATAAGTTCTAGGACCTGCCCAGTGACCTTTCAAGGGGTCCCTATGGTAGACCTTTCTACCGGCCTTTATAAGTGACGGATAAGTGACCTCAAAGCAAGGGATCAAGTGAGAAGTGACTGGGAAGGTCCTGGTTCATGAATTGATTTGGCGATGCTGATTTATGATTTGGGACCCAAATCAACATGTGAGCGAGCCAGCAAGACGCCACCTCACTGCTGTTGCGGCCCATGTCACGAAAGGTAGCCTGGTAAGGACTATAGCGTCGGACTGAAAGATAGAATGCCAAACTATTTGAATGCTTCCAGCTACATAAAGACCACTTAGAATGCCTCCAGGGCATTTTTTAAAGAACGCCTACCCTAAGGCCTGGTAGGGCATTGCAAGTGAGCCCTTTTTGGTGCCTCCTGTACTTCTGCTACTTAGAACCACCACTACTACTACCACCACTACAACAACAACTACTACTACTACTCCTGCTCCTGCTACTGCTACTGCTATTGCTGCTGCTACTGCTACTGCTACTACCACCACCACCACAACCACCACCACTACAAAAACATCAACAACAACAACTACAACAACAACTACTACTATATACTACTACCACTAGTGGTACCAGTACCAGTACCACTACTGCTACTGCTACTGCTGCTGCTGCCGCCTTCTTCTGGCACTAGCACTACTAGAGTACTGGTACTAGTACTACTAGAGTACTGCTAGTACTACAACTACTGGCATTCTATGTGTGCAACTTGTCTTTCAATTCCCTGCATGTTTGTGCGCCCGCTGCTACTACTACTACTACCACTACTACTACTACTACTACTACTCCTACTACTACTACTACTCCTACTACTACTACTACTACTTCTACTACTACTACTACTACAAATTGGCGCATGAGGATAAAAGCGCTTGTTTTGGAAAGGTGTGCCTTTTCACGCACGACAGAGGCGAGCGCAAACAGCCAGGAAAAGCGGAAAAATAAGGCAACAACAGTGCTTTTCAGAGCTAGCGGACTGAAAGATAGAATGCCGGGCCGGGCGTTCTACTAGATTTCTCTGTAGGCATTCTAACTCTGCTGGACTTTATTAGATGTTCCCCGATTTGAAAACTATCGAAAACTGCCACCCCATTTTTCCAAAACTAATTTTTTGCAGGCATTCTATCTTTCAGTCCGACGCTATACCTTGAGTTTGCTTTGCGAAGCAAAGGGACTGGCTTGAGAGCCTGCTCACCATCACACCATAAGGTGAAGTCATGCGCTTAGCTGTCACAGCAGCACGACCCTGGCCATGAGCTTGTGCAATACAGCACGACCCCTGCACAATGAGGTTGCTGCGGCTTCGATGCCGCGCGTGCGCACCCGGCAGCCTGACACAGCGAGTACTGCGTTCACAGACCATATTGCTCGACACCAACGAGCATCGATGCAACACAGCCTCGGGGAAACCTCTCGCTTCGCGGAGCACCATTCGACTCAGCCTTATTCCCTAGGGTGGCGACATCTTACTGCATCGTGGAGCACCACTACACTACAGCTATTTACGCACCCTTCCCATCAGCCACCCACCATAGCATGATGTCCACCCCTGGCAGTACCAGCCGCACCCTCTAGCACTATCCTTACAAGGGGGGCGTTGGCAGGCCTGTACTGTAATCCTGACACAGTGCGTGCAGCTGTGAGACCATAGCTGGTACACATGCCAGCGTTTACGCATTGCGACCTTTACGCGCGCCTGTTTTCACACACCTTTACACAAACGAGCATCGACGCAACGCAGCCTCTTTGCAGAGCCGCGTGGCGGCAACGGTGTTCCTCCTGATTCTTCCTGCGCTCTCTGGCTTTGTTGGCTTCATCCATGATTGGCCAAGGGAAACGTTCCTTAGCCACACCGGAGACAGTCCCTCACCAGAACAGGTCCCGACAGCTACCCAGTCCGTCTCTACCTTTCGTGGTTCCCCGCTCAAGTTACTGTAGCTGGGACAATATGGATCGACTGCGGCACCAGCGCATGCTCTCATTCCTTCCTCAGGTAGTCTCATGCCCCACAGTTTCGTAAGGCCAAGTACTACATTGACGTGGTGGAGATACCTGGAGTCGGAGCAGCCCTAACATCCACGGTGTGACTCCCCGTATATCTCACAGCCAGCTGGCACGCAGGAGGGCAAGCGCACCTCGAACTGGGCCACGACTTGGCGTGAGAGGCAGCTGGTTGGGTGTTCATAATACCTTGTGGGAGGAGAAGTGGGTTGTTTTTGCATCGTGCATGCTTGCGTTGCCGGTCAGATGTGTGAAAGCCTTCCATTTAGATGTCAAAGCTCGTCACATGTGTGCTGCATCAATCTATATACATGATTCATCCACCAAGCAAATACCCCCAAGACCGAAAATACCTGAAAGATGGATGCCTTGTGTGGCTCCAGATTCCAGAAGAGGAGGTGGTGCTGTCTGCAAGTGTGGCCGAAATAACAGATCTCCAGGGTATCATGTACGCCCAGTCCACTAGCATTATAGCCATAGCCTTTTACTGAACAAACATGTTATTCTAGGGACATTGCACAGGTTCTTTTTGTAGAGTTTTTGCTGCAGAGCTGACAGTGAGTTCCAACAGCCTTCCTTCTGGCGGAACACCCCTCAAAGATCCTCAAATTGAAGGATTGAAGCGCCTCCTTTCGTGAACGCTGCTTCATAAACTCTGAATGACTAACCAAGGACTTCAAATGGGTCCTCTAAAGTCCAACCTTTTCGGCGCGCAACGTGAGAATGGCGTGTGCATCGCGGAGCGCTCCTGACTCCTGATGTTCTTCAACGGGGCATTGGGGTGCAAAAACAAGACTTGGCTGCTGGAATTTGACTGATTGTCCAGCTCCCGGTCGGTGTGTGCTTCGTCCTCACCAGCGTTCAATTTGTTCTAACGATGAGACCAGCAACCGCATGCATGCATAGCAACATCTATCAACATCTATCAACAACCTGACAATCTCCAAAATATATTTAATATATACAATATGTTATGTTGACAAAGATTGATGGCATTTCATAGCATGCAGTCATTGGAGCACAACACGCACATAAGAAGTGTACCGCTGGCCTAATCAAGGCCCAAGCCTACTTGCGAGAAAAGTCGCGTTTGTCCATTTTCATGGTAGCGGAGCCCTGGCCGTAAGCGCCGGGGCTCCCTACCCACGCTGCACCACGAGCACCACGACCCCGAGAAGGGCACGGACGGCATCCCCGTCGATTACATCTTTGTGGATTTTGGAGTTGGTGATTTTGGCAGGCCTAGCGGGTGGCCTTTCGGCTCGACAGGAGATCCACTACTACCAGGGCGGATCCATGTCCCCAAGGAAGGCAAGGTCAAGTTCCGGCAGATTCACACTTTGTGCGCCCAGACCGAGACCTACGATGGACGAATCAGGTGGGCAAGAAGCGAGAAAGCCCTGAGAGTGAGCTTGGTGGTGAAGTGGAAGCAGAACGAGAACGAGGTGAAGGAGGTGACCGTGGTGGTGCCTAGCAAGTGACGCTTTATCCAGAAGGTCGAGTACCTGAAGGAAAACACAGAAGAAGAGGACCTGGAGGTGCTAGTGAGCAACTGGCGGTTCTGGGAGATCATCACCCACAGTGGGTTGGAGTTTGGAGTGAAAGGAGAAGGGGAAGCAGGTGTTGTGACCAAGACCTACTACCCGAAGGTTGGCCCTCTGGCTATAATGGCCGATGAGAGCTTGAGACTGGTGGCAGCTGCGGTGGAGAGGTTGACTTCGAACCAGGCGGCGCAGGGTTGGAGCAGGCATTTGAAAGCTCCTGGCCTGTTCAAGCCCGAGAACAGGGATGCAGAGCTGAAGACTTGGGGAGATTGGACATTCTCCTTTGTGAACTACATCAAGGGCGTGGACCCTTCCATGGCCCAGAACATGGACATGGTGGAGAAGAATGTGAACGACACCTACGACATGGAGAACATGACGGACGAGAACCAGGGCAAGCCTGTGAGGTTATACAGCCTTTTGACCTCCTACTTGCGTTTGAGGCCGCTGAAGCTGATCCGGCACATCAAGAATGAGAATGGATTTGCAGCATGGCAGGTGCTCCTGAAAGAAATGCAGCCGGCTACCAGGGCCAGATCTCTAGCCTTGTTGAGCCAGCTCTCGAGGATACAGTTTGAGGAGAAGAAGACTGTGTCAGAGCAACTGCCTCAGTTTGAGGCATTGGTGCAGGAGTATGAGCGCATCTCTGGGCAGAACTACTCAGATGATGCAAAAGTTGCAGCGGTGCTTCTTGCTTGCCCGAGGAAGCAGTAACTACCAGGTGGGATGCGTCGAACAATTTGATGCTGCCTACGAGAGCTTCAAGTGATGATGCCACTCCGATGGAAGTGGACTATGTTGGCAAAGCCTATGACAAGGGCAAGAAAGGTGGAAAGAAAGGAAAGGACAAGGGCAAAGCAAAAGGCAAAGACAAAGGCAAGCTACGAGAAGGAAAAGGCCTTTGGAAGAGCAGTGACAGAGGACGCTCTATGTGGGAGAAAGCTCCAGGGAAGAAAGGAAAGAGCCCAAGTCCAAAAGGAGGAAAATCTGGCGCATGCCATGTGTGCGGCAAGATGGGGCATTTCGCCAAAGACTGCTGGAAAGGGGTGAACCAGATTGAGGAGCAGCAGGCTGCAAACCCTGGTGAATCCAGCTCATCTTCAACCGGGCAAACTGGAAGTGCTTCATCGACACAGTATGCCTCTGTGAAGATGGTGAGACTTGAATCTACGCCTGAAGAGGAAGCGTGGGAAGTCTTTGATTTGACAACAACGCATCAAGAAGGAGGAGATGACTCAGCCTCCTGGCATGTGAGAATGGTGAGAATGGAGGAAGAGATTGAGGTGTTCTATGAGCTGGAGGAGGAAGAGCACAAGGATTGCCATGAGCCCGTGGTGAACGTGCCTGAAGATGTGGCTATAGTGGCCCTGTATCTGCAGGATGACGAGCTGGAGGTGAACATGGTGAAGGTCGAAGATGGTGACAATGAGAGCACGTGTTTGGTCACACTGGACAGTGGGGCTGACATTTCTGTGCTCCCACGAGACTTCGCTGGAGTTGGAACCAATATGGTGAGCAATGGCGAGTTGAAGATGGTGGATGCTCAAGGCCGGAGAATTGCCTATGATGGGCTGACCCGAGCCAAAGTGAGGATCAAGGATCGGTCCGGCAAGGTGGTGGAGATTGTGGAAGAGTTCGTGTTGGGGAACGTCCATCACCCTATACTATGTGCCGGACGGTTGCTGAAGCGTGGATGGAGCCTTGGAGGTGTGGAAGGCCAACTACATCTGAAGCACGATGAACGACGAATTGAGGTCCCTCTGAACACGGAGAGGAATTCACTTCAGTTTGAAGCAAGGATCCTGGCAGTGATGACGCCACAAGCAACAGATGCTGCTGAAGAGTCCAGGGTGTTCGCACTGACAGGCTACCTGAGCAAAGTATGTGAAAGCCCTGGAAATGACTCCTGGATGGCATCGATTACCAAGTGGAGTACTGGACTACAGCGACACAGTGGCCAGTCATTTGACCAATCCAGCGGGCAGCATCGAGAAGAGCTACAAGGCAAGACTCACCTTGATGAAGAACAAGGGTGACACATCAACCCAGTTGGCGAATGTGGAGGATATCCAAAGCCTTGGAAATGTGGCGTTCCGCAGGATCTCGATGGACAATGAGCCCATGCGACTGCTGAGTTTCTTCTCTCCAACCAAGTTCAAGGACTACTGGGAGAGCGGATCTGAGGTCCCTGTCTCGCCATACCCGTGTACTGAGGAATCTTTCGGCCATATGGAGTGGTCTGAGGATGATGCAGAGGAGATGGAAGAGCTCGAGTACAAGGAGATGTACCATGATGTGGAAAAGATGGTGGTCGCTGAAAGGCCAAATGAGGTTGAACTCGACCAAGTGCTGTTCTCGGAAAAGATGAAGGTGAAGGAACTGCAAGTGGCGTGCAAGGAGAGACAGCTGCCATGGACGGGCAGCAAGAGAAAGCTGCTTGATAGCCTCCTGAAGTTCAAGGTGCACTTGGAGACCCAGATGCACTTGGCAGCAGCAAGCAAGCTCTATGAGGAACAACAGAGAAGGCCGGTGACACTGGGACAACCAAAGCTTCCCAGTTTGGCAGAGCAGGCGCTGCACTTCGTGACCCACTGGCCCTATGCTCCTTGGTGCCAGGCATGTGTAGCATGCCGAGCGAAGGAAGATCACTACAAGAATGTGGGCGAGAAGGAGGATATGGGAAAGAACATCATCCAGCTGGACTTCTTCTACACGTACACTGGAGATGAAGGACGCCTTGATGAGACGCCAGTTGGAAAAGTCCAAGAGAGGCAAGATCAATATGGAACTTGCTTGGTGGCCGTATCCAGTGAGACAAAGTCCATCCATGTTGTGCCTGTCCCTACAAAAGGAAGTGCCAGCCTGAAGACAGTATCCTGATGAGACATGCAGGTCAGGCTCAGAAGTATCGAATGCCCACTTTGGAGATGGAAGCCACGGAGGAGGACATGAAGCAGATTGCATCTGATGTGGCCGCTGGCGTTGTGACACCTGCGCCTGGCTTGAGAGGACAACACTCAACACCTGGCATTGCAATACCTGCACCCTCAACTCCTGCCATCACATCACCCAGAGCAAAGGGTAACAAGAGGGCATTGAACGAGGAGGAGAAGGCAGATGAACATGAAGGAAAGAAGCTGGACCAGACGGACTCACCGCGCAAAGCGCATGAGAAAAGGGTGATTGAGGTGAGTGATGATGAGGAGGAAAAGAAGCCTCGTGTCGAGACACCTACTTTGCCAGATGCAGCAATGGAATCCAGTCCAGTCGAACAACCCGTCTGAGCGTCGCCCAGCAGTTCTGGACTGCTGTACCCACCGCATTTTGAGTTCAGTGGAAGCCCATGGTGATGAAGAAGTTGGGGCCGACTATATCCCAGAGGAGCTGATGGAGGAGGAATTCTGGGGTTATGGAGGCGAAGAAGGTGATGATCCACCTGAAGTCAGTGAGGAGGAATTGGAGCAGTTGGACACCCAGGCAAAGGAGAAGGAGATCAATCGGATGTTGGAGATGCCAGCCATGGTAGAGGTGGAAGCTGATGAAGTTGAGCTCAATGGAGGATATATCATTTCCACCAAGGAGGTCATGTGCTGGAAACACCGGTTAGATCAAGGCGGGTGGTTCCGAAGAGCTCGATTGGTGGCAAGACAGTTCAGGAATTCAGTACAGCTGGAACAATTACTCGCCCCGACTGGAATGATGTGCCTACCAAAGATGCTCCTCCACTTGACCCTGAACGTATACCTGGGATTCTCGGTCATGACCTTGGACGTTAAGGACGCCTTCCTGATGTCGCCACAACCTGCTGAGGAGAGAGCGTATGTCAGAGTGAATGGTCGCATCTTCAAATTGCTGCGTTGCTTGCCAGGGCAAAGGACAGCTGCATCACAATGGTTCCAATTATTTGCAGGAGCGTGCACCGAGTTTGGAATGCAGCAAGATCCGATGCAACCCACCTTGCTCTACCTCCCCTGGAGAGATGTACCTGACGGTGCATGTGGACGATGTGTTCATGGTTGGCATCACACAACGCCTCAGGACTTTGTGAACTACCTGAAGGAAAAGAAGGGATGGAACGTGGAACCTTCAGACCAGGAGAAAAGTTCCATTACCTGAAACGGGAGTTCACTTTGAGGCCACATCATTGCGATGTGAGGTGTGACAGGAAGCAGTATGACAGCTTCGAAAAGGAGGTGGGCATGTTTTCGAAGTTTTACCGGAAGACACCTCTGGATGCCAACTTCACCAAGAAGGACAATTCACCTGCACTCGAAGGAGGAGATGTCACCAAATACCGAAGCATTGTGGGCAGGCTGATGTACCTGGCTGGAGAAAGACCAGATGCCCAATTTGCAATTCAGTGCCTTGCAAGACATATGGCAAAACCCACGACACAAGCTATGAAGCATGCTTGGCACGTGTGCTCCTACCTGTTCGGCACTGGAGGCTATGGTGTCCGCATCGACAGCAAAAGCCGTGGACAATCAGTGATGGACATGAGATGCTCGGTAGATGTGGAGCCACTGGAACAGCACCTCATCGAAGTGGTGACCGACGCTGACTATGCAGGAAATCAGCACGACCAGAAGTCAACGAGTTCCTTTCAAATCTTCATGGATGGGAACCTTGTCGAGTCGAAGGTGAGGTCACAGAAAGCCATATCCTTGTCCTCAGGCGAGTCAGAATTTGTGGCTATGGTGGCTGGATGCTCGGAGGGTCTGCTGATCAAGTACTTGTGGCAGAAGCTGGCAGGTGCACCATGCACCTTGAAGATCAGGTCAGACAGTTCTGCCGCCAGAGCGATGACCCAGAGGCAAGGAATTGGAAGGGTGCGCCATTTGGATGCCTCATTACTGTGGATCCAACAGAAGGAAAAAGAGAAGACAGTGGTGATTGCACCCATACCCACAGATCTCAACTGTGCCGACCTTGGAACGAAATGTTTGAGCAAGAAGAGGCACAAGGCTCTCCTGTGGATGCTGAATGTGGTGGATGCTGTGGGCGACCGCGTGGGTGAAGAGGAGTTCCGTGAGCTTGAGGAGCAGCACAACCTGAAACAGAGCGTCAAGAAGTTCGGGAAGAACAAGGACATGAGAATTGGATTGCTGATGTTGCTCAGCACTTTGACAAGGGCAACCGGCATGGCAAGTGATGGAGAAGGACACGTACATGAAGGTTGGGATTGGCTGTGCGTGTGCGCGGTGCTTGGGGCCTTGAGCCTGGTGAAGTGGCTGCAGGTCTATGTGATCAAGGCCATCGGTGGCACGAAGGACTTCTTGTTGAAGTATGTGAAGAAGAAGTTTGATGGCAAAGAGGTCACAATGACCTTGAAAGTCACGGTGGAAACCAAAGAGACACAAACCACCGCTGAGGTCATGAATTCCGACCTCCAGAAGTGTTTGAAAGAACTTGAGGAAACCCATGTACGGAATTTCCACCTGGACACTTATGTAGAAGAATTGGAAGAGAAACTGAAAGCAGTACAGGAGGTCATGGATGACTTTATGATCCAGACCCGACTTTCAGATTCTCGAGCCACGAAAGTCGAAAATCGACTATGCAGTTTGCGAATGACAGCAAACGGAAAGGTGGTGCATTTTTCCCCCAGCTGCAAATTTTGGGGGCATGCACAAGATCTGAACTTTTGTAAGGTGTGCGAGAGCTCCAATGAAGGAGGGGTGACAAAGATTGATGGCATTTCATAGCATGCAGTCATTGGAGCACAACACGCACATAAGAAGTGTACCGCTGGCCTAATCAAGGCCCAAGCCTACTTGCGAGAAAAGTCGCGTTTGTCCATTTTCATATGTTTTCATGATTGACCCACGGACCCGCTCGAGGTTTTTCAAAGGACTGCACACCAACCCCCTTTTCAAACGACCTGCACCTCCCGGCATCGGCCATGGCCAGGATTCGGAAGGTTTTGCCGCGTGGCATCGATGGCTTCGTCAACGCCGGGGATAAAGAGGCGTTTCGGCTGAACATGACGAGTGGTTCGGTCGGTTCCGAGCGCGGGGAAACCGCTGTCCGGGCTCCTAGATGCTCCAGTGGGCCGCCTTTTGGGGGACTCGAAGGCTGGAAGTGTAGGGTAGTAGGGCATGCGGCATGACATGAGTTTATGCACCAGATGAGCCACCTAGGTGTGCTTCTCCGTGACAAGGTCGTCCGACTGAGGTTCAATGAACATTCCTATTGTCCTATTCAAGTCAATTCGCTTTGAGGTCTCCCCTGAGCTGCTTCTTCAGCCGGCCGAACATGTTCTAGCATCGCCTAACTGAGCTGGAACTCATCCTTAAATATCCTTAACATAACATCCTTCACCTGGTTTTGCTTAGGGGTGATCTTGATTTCCCCCATGGTGATATCCCCCTCTGATGTTTTTTACTTTTGTTCCCAGTTCCTGAGGCAAATCCAAGTTGAACCGATGCAGGATTTCTTCCTTAGACAGTAGGCCTTCTCCACCCCGTCCGGGTGGGACTGGGGTCCGATGAGCGAGGGTGACCTCGATGTTCTCCAAGCCGACTCCAAGCGCCAGGTCCGGCTTATGGTTTCGGCCTTGTGGCAGGATATCTCGGACTGGGCTGGGACACCTGATCGGGTTGGGGAGGATGGGCGTTGTGAAAGTGGGCGAGGGAGCTCCTCCTGTCAGAGGAACTGGGTTTTGAATGGTTTTGATTGTTTTTGTATGTTTTTTGTGCGTATTCAAACTAATTTGTCCTATGTGGCCAATTCCTATGTCACTCGGACAGGTTAAGACCCTTTTTTGCATGGTGAATCTTCGCCGCACAACGCTGGGTGTGCCCGGACCGGGCAACCAGGCAAAGTATTGCTGATCGGGTCAGTGAACGACCTGCAACACAACAAGAGTAAAACTCCAGTTCTGTGCGAACAGCAGCCATTCAAGGGGAATTCACAGGGGAATTTGCAGCTCCCCAAGCTGATTGAAGTGAATCCAAAGTTCATGGCTTGTGCAACGAAAACCTTTGATGTTGAACTTGAACTCTAATCGTTTTGGATGTTGGCACGATGGTCCTATCATGTCCTATCACATTTGCCCTTGGATTGTTTCTCTCAGTGACAGGGATGGCCCGCCGGTCTGGCAGGTGATCACCCACCAAAAAGATACGAAAGCAGGTGTTCCATGGAGTCCCAGTATGTTCCAAGTTGGGGTGTCGTTGGTTCTTGGATTTGTTTGTGACAGAATGGGCATCCAGTCAAAAGGGGTTTTGCGAGCCATCTCAACATATCCGACATATCCCAAGTCCTGCAACCACTTCTGAACCAGTTCCTTAACCTTTATAGTCCTAACCTCATTCACCTCAGGGTCGCCTGGGTGACCCTTGCGCACCCACCGAGGTGCAGACCGAGGAGCAAGGGCCTCGCTTCCTGAGCCTCTTTACGGCGGTGCGCAGGGCCTCGCCGCGCCAAGCGCCCGGAGGGGATGGGATGAGGAATGGCTCAAGAAGAGGACATAGACCCTGACGTCCTGGTCGCATGGAAGACGATTTTCCTCTACCAACCAGGGGTTTTGAGGTTCCATGTTCCAGGGTGTAAGCTATTTACCCTTTGATGAGCCGGGCACCGAACTGGGGCGCGAACATGTATCATTCATGTACTGTATTTGTATGAGGCTTTACATGAATTCCATGAGTGGGGCACGAACCACCCGCGATTCCCCAAACCCATTTGGGCTGAAGAAGGGGCCACATGATGCCACATGATGCATGCGATCATGCGGCAGGCAGTTCCATAAACTATTTTGAACATTTGAAATGTATGGGCCCGTAACATGCGGAAGGTGCCCTTGGCTACCTGAGCCCTTGTTGCAATGGATGCTGGTGGGCTTCAGATGTTCTAATTCCCTCCAATTCAACGAATGGTTCTGTTCTGTTCTGTTCATTTGGGAGCGGGCCCTCTTCACCCTTCCCCCTGGGTTTGTTGCCTTGCAGCTATTCAAATGCAAATCTACTCACTATTCATGTTGACAGTTCTTTTGTGGGTCACCTCGTCGTCATCTCAATGGGTTCGTGAAAAACCTCGAAAAACAATCCCAGGACAACTGCGTTCAGAGATGGGCTCAACATCCCACTAAAGTATATCATCATTTGTCACACCTGTGCGCTTTCCAGGTGCTTCTTTCAACCAAATCTTATCCATGACTCCCCCTCTTTGCAACCCACGCGGCACCTCCAACCTGGGCACCGAAAAAAAGAAGATGTGAATTGAATGGATGATCAGTCAGTTTCAGGATGTTTCAGGGATTGGTCGGCAAGAGCGTCACTGGTGGAAATTCCCAGTCGTCAACTCCCGACTTCGTCGCATTTCCTCAGCGACCGGCGCGCCTTCTGTTGAGTCAGCGTTCGGAACCAGGAGCCTCCACAGGCGCCAGATGGCACCGAGGCGGAAGCTGGTGATCTCTGAGGGCACGAAATAATTTAAAGCACTGGCAGATTGATACTAGTGTGGGCGCGTAGTAAAATAGGGACACGGCGTATTTCCAGTGGATACTGGGGGAGCTGAAAGCCCTCAACCGCTGCGTGGAAGACTCATATATGCATGGCTCATGTGACCCTTGAGTCAGCTGTGGCGCAATGGGTGGAAGTTCCGGGATCGCGGCCACTTCCAATGTTCCTGGGATTGATCAGCGGCGTCCCCGGTTCCGCCACCGCCCGGTATATTGCGAGAACGTGCACCGGTTCGACCGCTGCAGAACCGGTCTCATTGTTCACGCCAGGCTCCTCAAGTGGATCAATGGGCCTTCATTCCAGCGTCGGATCTCCTCTTAGTCGTCGGGGAGGCGGAGCGAAAAAGAACACAGGAGCAGGGGCCGATGAAGCACTCGTGGCGGCTGAGGTGGGTAGTTCTGGTAATTAGGGAGGAACTTGTTGCAGGTCACAGCGACCTGGGACTTTCCATATGACTATGACATGTTGTAACTACATGCTGGTGTGTAGCACAGCGAGCACCACCATTAGAGTTAAAATTGTGTTTTACATGGTTTTTACCGTATTTTTACCATTGTACTGAGGATTTGAGACTACAACACCAGGTCGGAAGCCTCCAAAATGTGATGCACCCTCCCAGCTCAACCTCCCAGCCGTTCCGACGGAGAAGTCCGTGCCTCGGCGCCTGATGTCGCCGCTTCCAGGGCATCGTGGGGATCAGCGCGGAGGGCTTCGGTGCCGCGGACGCGAAGCCCGGCCACGAAAGGCGCAGACGCGCGGACGCGTGGAGTGGAGAACGGCAGGCCGGTGGAGTGGAGTCTCCAAGTTCAAGTCGATGTGTTTTATTGTGTGTTATTGATTAGTTGGTTTTGGGATGTGTCCATTTGGCTCTTTTGATCTTTCAAGATGACGTACTGTTACAATACTGATGTCGTTCTTTGAAATGAGGACGCCAAGTCATGAAGCCCGTACCTCAGCACCTTGATGGGTGCTACGGGAGCGTTTGAACGCTCCGCAGGATGAGCTTCGACGAGGCGATGGCTGGAAAGAAAGAGAAGGTGAAGGCGGCACGGCCGTGGGAAGTGGTCGTGGTCTCCAACCCCAGTACCTTCGTTTCGTTATACCAACCCCGTGGTACCCCAAGTAGTGGGTCCAAACACCTTCTGAGGAGGTACGACTGGCATGGGTGGGTGGGTTGCACGTCACCTTTATGGAGCACCGCAGCCACAGCAAAAACGCGCAGCCACACCGCAGAACACCGCAGCTTCCTTTCGCTTGGGTGGTTTGTTGGGTGATGGGGAGGTTTGACATGGCCGAATTCTAAGCAACTGAGCATGTAGCTGCACTGCACTAGAATCCAATCGGCTGAGGAGTTTCAGTGAGGTCATGTGTAAACATGTGCTTAAGAACATAAGACGACCTGATCAAGAATGATCAAGAGACTTCAGAATTCTCCCACTTCGCATTGAAGTATTGAAGCAAAAGAAATCAAACGACACAATGAAATGCTACAAACAGGGATCACAAATTCCAGGTTTTGATGCCCTTGATCATCCTCGATCCGGCCGCATCCTCGTGCTATCACCTGCCCAAGAGAGGTTTGTCCGCAGGGCCATGTCCTCCGTTTAAGAGACAGAAGCGTCCTCCATGAAGTGGCTGGACCATGCTGTTTGGGTGTTCAATGGATTGTTGATGAAGCCCTTTAATGTTTGAGACTCAGTAGTATGATCCCAAAAAGGCCATGTCCAGGGCCTAGGAATCTTCCTTGCAAGAATACTATGAAAAGTAATCCCTGGTTGAAATGCTATTTTACAAAGGAACAAGGAAATCATAAAAGGAAGTCCTTTCCATTAACAAAACCTGCGCAGAGGCATGCAGTGGTGGTTAGTACAAGTGATGATTATACTTAGTATATATAACGCCGAAAGCAGGGAGGAAAAACAGGGGAGAAAAACTTTGTGTTATTCCAACCTCTCGATTCAAGGGTTTGGAATACTGTAATGTTCGAACACGTTTAAAAAATCCGTCCGATTATACACATAGGGATCCAGCATTGTCCACCCCCATGTTTGAATCCATGGTAATTAGCCGCCGGTGTTTCTGTTTATTCCGCTTGTTGGAAGTGGCCCAAGCAAGAGGAGGGTTCTACTTGGCGTCCGTCTAGGAACCTATACCGCCGGACTGAAAGTTAGAATGCCTATCACCGGGTGGAGAGTCTAGGTTTCGGCTACCACTTAGAATGCCTCCCAGCACATTGAGGCGTACCTGAGACGTGTTTTAAACAAATATTGAGACGTACCTGGGCTAATTTGTATATAATATATATATGAATTGTTGAAGTGTTTTGCCTAGTGCCTTGGCTCAAAAAAGGAAATTTAGGTATTTGAGCTGGCGCCATGCAGCAAACGTTGCATGCCGTCTTGAAAAAGACCATGTCAAATCCAGATCCGCCGCCTCTTCCAGCTCCTGTGAATCCACCATCTCCACCATGATTGAACTCATCTCCCATTGAAGATCTAAATATACTTGAGAAATATATATATATACATACACATCGTGTTTACATGATTCAATCACTGTATAGAGCTCATTTGATGCAAAGCACTCTAGCCGGACTGACAGTTAGAATGCCGCCCTAAATCTTTACTATTTGTGGGGCCGTGCAGGCATTCTAAGTGTAGGAAAATGAGACACGCATTCTAAGCCTCCACCCTGGAGCCGGTACGGCATTCTAACTTTCAGTCCGGCGGTATACACTAATCGGATCTATATAATCAGCATTTGCCTGAACAAAAGAACTGCATGCCAACACCATTCCCTCAAACGCCCTCAAAACCAGACCAGTATCACTCTCCAAACCCACCCTGAACAAGTCACTGTAGTAACTGGTGGGCTGGATGGTTGAGTTCATCAATTGATCAGCAGGGTGCCGGCGCCGGATTGAGGAGGTGGAGAATGATGAGAAGGAGAAGAAGAAAAGCAAGGACAAGGAGAAGAAGACGGTTCTTGTGGAGCACTGTCACTTGGTGCTTGATCCCTTTAGATTCAGTGGATGGATGACAATGGATGACAGACGCACGGATGGCACGGAATCCCCACGCGCTCGAGCGACAGTTGGGCGGCGCAGCGTCACACTCGGCCAGGGGTTCCCACGTTTGGCTGGCTGGCCGCAGGACAGAAGTAAATCAAGAGATGATAAAAAGAAAGATAAGGACCGCCTGGAGAAAAGGGCAGGGTCGCGTATGCGTGCGCATGGGGTCAGGTCATGAAGATCCTGAAGGGTCCTATTTTGTTTACATTGATGGTGTTCGCCGTCGTGTTGTCTTGTGTGTTTTTTCCCGTGAGGAAGACCGCCACTTGATGGCCGCTTGGGATGTTCATGGCCTTGGGAATGTGATGTTGTCTCAGGTCTTTTTCAGAAGCGGTGAAGATAGGCCATGGTCAAGGTCTTCACATGATCTGTGGTTTTCTTACTCAGGGAATACCTGGGAGCTCGGAATTCTTCGTTGAATGTGCGTCTTCGAATCGCTGTTCTTCTCTTTCTGTCACGGCCCATGTTCAGAATCCAAAGAACTGAGGGGTCGGGTGGTGCTTTCCATGAAAAGAGGGTCCACGCTTCGAATGTTCAGGTGCCAAAGGCCACCTGTGGAGGGTTTGGAAGTTCGTCGGGTCGGTGAACACAAGGCCACGTCTTCCTTCGGTCGGATCGGTGAACGAAGCGGACGAAGAACGGTTGCGGCCACACCTCCAGAGAGGGTGGATCTTCCAAGCAGAACCGGCTATCCGATAGAGGGCTTGGAAAACGTCTGTGTTACTTTCGACGGCGATGTTTGTTGTCTTGGGGGGGAGGGCATCATGAGGAATAAGTTCCTGTGATTCGTGTTGGATACTGTAAATCCATTTCTCAATCCCTTCGGGCTGAACTCCCTACAGGCAGGGTGACTAAGTGCTTTCCTTTGTCCTCACCAGCTGCAGGATGGCAAGCCCACAAATGATCCAGACTTCAACTGGGAGAAGGCGCTTCTCACAGAAGCAGTCAGTTGGTGATGGCTCCTGCTGGCTTCGGATTGAAAGGATGTCCACCGACCTCCTGGGTTCTATAGTCCCACTTTGGGTCGTGTGCCAGCAGCTGTCCAAACCACAGAAAGTTTGGGGAAACTCACCATCCATTCCGAGACGACGTCTTCTATTTCTTGCTTGTTAGGATGCACATGAAATCACACGAAACAGGTTTAACAAACCAGGATGTACAGCAAGCCCTGAAGTTTCGTTGGTCAAAGCCTCCAAGCACCTGGCTCACTTGTGCTATGTGCTATGCGATGCCCTTTCTGGTCGATCAGAAACGCCCAACGGGATCCGCCCCTTGCATGGTCAAAATGCTCCGCCCCACCCGTGGGGCCAGCATTCGGTGAGTGGCCCACATTCTTGCAAAGTTGTATGGTACGGTACTAGATGGTACTAGTAATTTAGATAGATATAATATGATATAATGTTTTATAAGAGGTATAGTATATACAGACATTAGATATATAATATATATATATGTGGGGCGTGTCCTATTACCTGCAACAGTCAGTAAACACTTATCACTATTTTTGTATCAGTAACTATTAAACGTACAATATATATATATTTATTTATACTGTGTATATATATATATATGTGTGTGTGTGTTTGTGACCTTAGATGAAAGAATTGGCATGATGCCGTCATATGCCGTCACTGTACCTGGCTCCTTATGGATTGGATGCAGAATCACGTGGGTTCCTGCCCTCTTCGGCCTCAGAGTCCTTTGTGCGGCCTTTTTGGCCAGGTGTGGCGCGAGCGAGTGCAAATTAGCAAGTCGGGGTGACCCGGGAGCTCCGGGTTAACATGCGTGAGCACATGCGCGTTTTGAAAGCTTATCGGGATCCCCGGAGCGAGAGGCCTCACGCTCACAAGATGTGTGCCTCAGATGGGAAAAGTGAAGATTTCCATGATAGATTAGGAGGAGATAAAGATGAGCATGATATATCATGGTCTCTATGTTCAGGGGATGTTTGTCCACCAATAGTTGGGTGTTGCTCTTAAAATGGACCTGCAGATGTTCTTGCTCCTGGAAGCTGCTCATTTAAATTTACAAGGAGAGATTTGGGGCGGCCCCCTATTTTTGAGCCTCCCTGGAACAATCATGGAAGTGGGTTGCATATAGCCCCCAGAAAGATCATGAGATCCTTTACAAACAGGGTCTCAGGGGACCTGTTCACTCCACTTCCATGATGTATACCGTACACTGTGAAATCCAACTTCCCTCGAATGGTTTTACATGTTTAGCCCAGGGAGGGTCCAGGGAGCTGAAGCTCCGATGTCGTTGTCGGGCTCCATCCCATCTCATCCCTCAGGCAACGGCCGCGGCGTTCGCCGCCGCCCGAAACACGGCGGGGGCTCCCTGGGGTTGGGAGGTTTTGGCGAGTTCTTGATGGATGAACAAGGGCAGAAATGGCATAGTTGGATGATGTTGGAAGGTGTAGGTCTTTGCATTGTGCGCTGAACATGTGACCAGACCCTATAGACTATAGACCTTCCTGACCATTTTGACTTCATTTCCGCCTCCTGACGCTGAATTCTTGAAGTAATTTGATGGTTGGACCGGTCTTTGGAACCTTTCCCAGACACTCCATGTATGCCATGTATGCCTACATTGGGGTGGTTTTGGGCAATGGGGCGGCATATATGGTATACATGGAGTGCCTGGGTTTTTGACACCAATCCCAGACACTCCGTGTGTATGCCCACATTTGCGGAGGCGTTTTTCCTTTATGTATCGGCCATCTCTTCCACTCCCAGATGGGTGGACTCTGGGAAGAGCTCCTTTTTTTTCGGCCTATCGGCTATCGAAGTGCAAATCTTGATTCATCACCCGCCCTCCCGTATGTTTATACAAGGTTTGGACAAAGCGCCGTGCTGTTTTTTCGAAACCCTTGTTTGCGACTTGGATCCCAGCCCATAAGCTGGAACACATCCCTGAACATATGATCGACCATGATATGGCGGCTGCCAATGGCTCCACCATCATCGATATTGTTCACAACCGTACAGCGGACCATGCCGCAAAGCGACAAGCGCTTCGTAATAGCCCGATAGCTCCAGCCTTGTTTGAACCCACGTGCCAAGCTGTTCTACAAAGGCAAGAGTGGCTCACCAGTCTGTGCCACTTGATTGGCACCACCTTGCCTCATGTTGAAAAAGACCCAGACAGCGATTGTGATGAAAGTAATATTGCACCTAGTGAGCAGTTCCCACGCCTTCCCTGGAATGAGGATGTTTCTTTGTTCACTTGGACCCTCCTACATGACTGGCCGGTCAATCCAGTGCCTGAGTCCGTCCTTCTCGATAGCGATTGGACTCTTTTCGGACAGTTTGTGAAAACACTTAAATGGCGCCTTGCTGAAAATTGTGTGGTTTCGCATGCTGAACTTGCATTCCTTTGTTACCACCAAGGCTTCAAGTGTACAGAGCTTCTTCAAGATGAACACTATACGTTTCAAGCCCTGATAGTGTGGTTCAAAAAGTGCCTCAAAATATGCCGGAAGCATGTTCGTTTCGAATTTTTTCCTGGTACCAATGATTCCAGGCTGCACAACTCATGGGGCAAGACGATGCCCGCTGGTGCTTTCGTAAATGCTCGGCCTTTCATGTCCAATGCATTCCTGCAATTCCTAGTTGAGATTTCGCGCCATGTGGTGAAGGCCAATCTAGACACTTGGGCCTTCAGTGTCGCTTCGTTTCCATGCTAGCTTGATGCTTCTTCGTGGGCTTCGATCCGTGTGGATCGGTCGCTTTGTGCCTTTGGGGTTTTTGAGCCTGTTGGGTCTTCTTGCTTTTCATTTGCGAACAGGTGGAACGCCTGTCGCAGAGTCTCACGCCTGACTTCGTGAGCACGAGTGGTAGAAGAGGTTTTTTGGGTGGATCCTACTAGGAAGGGGTCATAAAAAGATGATCCTACATGATCCTACATTAAGGCCAGCTCCAGCGCGACGAACCGCAACTCACCGCCCTTTGCCCCTGGGCCTTCGGCGGAGAGATGCGGAAAGCTTCCGAGGTCCGACAACCGGCGTTCCCGCTCGCGGCGGCGTGGACGCTCGCGCTCGAACCGGAGATCCAGGCAGCGGGGGCCGAGAGCGAGCCGGAGCAGATCGGAGCAGAACGCTCATGTGGTGTACTGTAAGTACCATGAGTTCACGATGAGGATCTCCGTGGTGCTTCTTTTGGTTCTTTGGGAGGACGTGATGGTTCCGATAGGTTCGCTTGGACTGTCCTTGAGCGGACTAAAAGGAGGGCCCTATCCGTGGCCCGCCATGATTGGCCACTTCTGCCCATGAGTGCCTCAATCCGTGGAAGCCAATATTTGGCCCTAAATGATCCTCCTCCAGGCTGAAATCGGAATCGTTTCACCAAAACTGATCCTCCCTCCAAACATGGGTGAACATGGAACGCCCCGAAAGGATGACTGGCCCTGAAAGGATGACTGTAACAGGATCCATATAACAGGATCTACCCTCCCTGCAACAATCATGGAAGTGGACAATCCCCTCTTGGTAGAGGAAAATAGTCTTCCAAGGGGCCACTGTCCACTTCCATGATTGTTTCAGGGAGTGTAACAGGGGGGCTGAGCACCTTCCATGATTGTTTCACGGAGGGTGTTCCCAGATTCTTACAAATGGTGGTCTTGCTTGATGTTGTGAGGATTCTTGGTAACAATCCAGTCAATCGGCTTTCACAGGGGTCTGGGTCAAGGAAGCCATTGGAGTCCTCCATCGTTCGCCCTAGACCTCCCAGAACCGGTTGAGGACCCTGAAACCACTCCGAATCACTCCGAGAAAATCCATCCTAGACCTAAAGCGTCAAGACACAAGCCTCAGTCCAGAAGCTCGGATCCCAACATGAGTTGGGTTATGAGATGTCCTGAGCAGCAGTCCTGGAACAATTAATTCCTCGAAGCAGTGCCAAACGCGTACAGCTGAGCGACTGAGAGGTCGCGCGAGAGGCGCGACAGGTGGGACGACTGCGGGACTGTGGGTGGTGGCGTGGAGGGGAGGAGCCTTGCTAAGAACTATAAAGAAATTAAGACAACATCCAAAGACCTGAGCCCAGGCCAGTCAATCCCAATCAACTTCTGAACTTCCTGTACTCCTTTTACCAGGTGGTTGTCACACTGGCACATTCCAGGGCATAGAAGCGAACTGTGGAAGCTGGGCACCCTGACTTGCAATGAGAGCATCGTGCCAGGGTTGGGTTCCTTCCCCCTCCAACTGCCAAAGACTGGAAGATGTTGTCTTTCAGCCCTTGCGACAAAGGTGGTCTCACCACATAGCCATCCCAAAGGAACGGATTCATTTGATTTGTCCCACCAGTGCCTGTGCAAAGAGAGCTCTTCCAACGGCTTCAGCATGGAGGAACGACCGATCTCGCCGTAACACTTCTTGCCCGTGTTATGATGATCATGATGATGATGATTAATGATGGATGATGGATGATGGATGATGGATGATGGATGGGGATGGTGATGGTGGATGATGGATGATGGATGGTGATGGTGATGGTGATGATGATGACGATGGTGATGATGATGATGATGGTGATGATGATAGTTGGAATGTGGATGTCGGCAGCCGTTGAAAAGAACCTTCTGGTGGATCCAAAAGGAGCTTCCAGGAGCCGTGAACAGCGCTGCCTGGAGCGGCGAACGGCGAACAGCGTGAGCCGGCCCTTAGAAACAAAGCAGGAGGATTGGAGGAAGGCTTCTCTTGAAGACAAGTGTCTCATGGTTGGTGTATAGCAGGTATCTTTCTTCAGTGCACCTGAACCTCTAGTGAGAAAAATAGACAAAAAGGCACTTCTCCATTTTGATCCTGCGGCCGACTTTCTGTTCAGTGGGAGTCAGACAGATATGTAACACAAGTCCGCAGCCTCTCTTCTTTGTTTGTATGCTTTGATTTGTTTGAGGGGGTTAGTAAGCATGTGATGATGTAATAATGGTAATATGTATATTAATATGTAAACGTATGTTTCTTCTTCTTCGTTGTTCTACTGTATGTTTTTCTTCTTTGGGATTCTTTGTTTTCTACATCTGACCATGTCAGGTTCTAGACCGGTCTGTTCCTGCCACGGTCGGCGCCCTGTTACCACCAGGCGGCGGCGCCCCGTGTCGGGGTCTCGATCCTTCTCTCGGTGACCGGGACGGAGGCGAGACGACACGCGCTGCGCACGCGCGCGCAGCCGCAGCTCGTCGTGAGGGTTTGGGGGTTTGGGGGGTCCCAGGTGGCGTCACCCAGAGGTTTTCCGCCCAAAGGCCTCAAAGCTGCTTCTGATGCAGGTGGAAGAGAACCTCGAGTTCCTAAACGCAGCTAAACGGCCTAGACGGGATATCAACGGGATCCTTTTGGGGCTTTCTTTGGTCGGAATGGCCTCCACTGCATCCCGGAATCTCCACCGCGGCCATCCGCGGTCTCGCGGTGCCGCCGTGTTTCCAGTACCTTGCTCCGGGGAGGTGGCTTCGCAGATCATCTTCGTGCAGCTGAGGGGCGAAAGGAAGTGAAGGTGGACCGTGGATGAATGTAATTTCACGTGTATTATTTGTTCACCAAAGTCTTCGGAGCAGATCCTGCATTGACGGAGGGGAAGGGCATTAGACAGGTACACAGGTTCTGTTTTTTTCACATGTTTTGTGGACTTCATCTCTCCAGCTAAAAAGCTGCATGCCGAGGAACCTGGTGATGTAGCGTCATGGGACGGGCACGCATACATCAAAAACCGGTACTGGCAGATTGGTGAACTCACAAGTGTCGACGTAGTGACGTGACATGGTGGAAGGGAGTCGGCTTTCAAAGGTCCCTACCATTGGGTGGCGTGTGTTTTTTGAGGTGGCGTGATGTCATAATTGATCTTTCCTGGCCGCCGAGACCTTTGAGTGCAGCTTTTGATGTGCATCTATAGTGATCCCCAAATAGATGACCGGATTGCACGTTTCCAAAACATGTTCTGTCTATTTGCGGGTTTGCATCATCGAGTTTGACCATCCATGGTGCACCTTTGCCGCTGGTTCGGCCGCCTCCCGACTCGTCTGTGGGGTTGGCTGTCTACAACCATCCGGCAAGAACAAGGGCAACTGGCGCCCTGACGATGCAGCACACCAAAAGGAACTCCAACACAGAACTTATGTTCTTGTGGCTGGGTTTGCCATTACAAAAAGGGAAAACATGCAGGTTACCATGCAATCTCACGATATCTCACGCAGTTCCTCCAAAGAAGAATGGGCATTTGAGATGACTTGTTCTCCCTGACCAGGATCGGCACTTTGATCCACCAAGCACTAACCGAGGGATTGCTGCATTGCTGAATTGACATGACACGAATTGAAATGACGCAATTGTCAGCACCGAATTAATAAACGCCCCCCCTTCAAGGTCAAGAAGATCAACAAGGTTTGAGATTGGAGGTATTTGGAGACCACATCCCCTTAATAAAGGTGATGACCTTATGATAGATGATGAGATGATGACCTGGACCTGATGATGTTTGATGGAATTCTGTGTGAATCATGAGAGTTTGAAGCATGAGAACCATGAGAGATGAAAGAGATTGGAAGACCAGATTCTTTCTTTGATTGGGACGATATTGGACACTGACGAAAAAGAAACAACATAATAATTAAGCTATATGGGTTTGATTTTTCGGGGCAGCTGGTCTTGAATATTAATATGGGGAGGCTTCGGCTAGGAAGAAAAATATTATAGGGTGATGTACATGTGAATTCAGGTGTTAAATTATTAGTTTAGTATTGGGGGCTCGAGCTGGGCTTGGTTAATACGGGGTGGTTCCTTAATCCTGTCTCAACATAAATCATATATGTACACAACAGACATATACGCGGAATCCAATATATGGGATGGGTTGACACCCCATGTGGAGCGTCCATTCTGTTCAGGGTGAGGCGGCACCCAAGTCCTGGCGCGAGTTTCATGCCACAGACCTCGACATCAGAGGGATGAAAAGCTGAAGAACGCGGCCATCGTTTGATCTCGTTTCTATATTGGAGGCACTTGGTTTCAACATACACTCCCTGCAACAATCAGAGAGGTGGAAAATGGTTCAATGACCCTTTTCCTTTGCAGACAGGCAGTGTACCACTTCCATGATTATTTCGGGGAGTGTAACACTGACGAACTTACTGCCTTTGAATGCCACCTACGACGATTTGCACACAAAGATATCTTTTATCGTAGCAGGCGATTTCAGCTGCGACATGTCACAGCTTGATACTACATACACGGCATGTCAAGCCATGCAATGTGAAGAAATGCTGACTATCCTCATGATTCGCACAGAATACCAGAATACCATTATAGGCATATGTTGCATCTCTTTCCGGAACTGGCATCCGGGAATGTTGTTTCATACTAGGTCGGATTGATTTGTTGAGAAAGCATGGAGGCAAATTGCTACTTGATTGAGACCCCCAACCGCTGTCAAGGCCAGGATCTACAGAACCCCAGCGTGCAACAACATGACAGCGAATTCCGGAGATGCACTGTCCCGTCGTGGTTGAGGCAGATGTCCCATCCGGAGTGCTGGACTGTGGACATCGGCTCGGCTGGAGGTTAAATCCATCACTTGGGACTCGTTGCTTTGATGCGAACGCATGACCGTTGCCCGTTGCCCTTTGCATGACCCGCAGATGAAGGTCTCAAGGATGCGAACGCCGAACGCCAGGACCAGGCGTACATGTGGTCCCTCAGGTGTATAAGAAGAATCATGGAAGTGGAAAATGGCCCCTTGGATGACCGTTTTCCTCTACAAACAGGTGATTTTTCACTTCCATGATGGTTGCAGTTGAGTGTAAGCGTGTATACCAGTCGTAACCTGTGCGTAGTGTTCTATACAGAAATTGGGTCAGACAAGAAAGACTCCGCGGGGCGGTGTGTGCAGATGTCGAATTTTCTGATTTTTAGATCTCGGGCGGCGGAGTAAAGCTCCTCGTGTGCGGTGCATCTCCGGATGGCTTCTTCAGTGAAGATGGCGATGCAGGCCCTGCGGGTGGCGTGGCAAGTTGCACAGCTTTCAGTCGGTCCATGTTTGAGACACTTGTTCAAGCATGAAGCACTTAAATATTTCATTTTACTTGCACATGTGGTCAGACCAGGATGTCCAAATGTCATGTCCAGGACCCATGATGTCATGTCTCATCATTAATTTGGTCCCCCTGTTTTGGTTGTCTGAAGGGGGTTGTTATTTTATTGAATTTATTGTCCTTCCTTCCTGATCAGCGTTGACCCTATATACTTTGGTGGCTTTGTTTTGGGCATCCCGAATGCATCGGTCGCTAGACCAACCGACCAGCTGGTCATTTCCAGCAGGTGTTGCAGCGCTCCCGCAAAAAGCCCGCAACTGCTTGGAGCATGACCCAGAAAAATCCATCGACTATTGAACTACATTACATGTCACCTGGCTTCTTCAACCTCCCCCAATCTAGTTCAATGCTGGCGATCTTAACTCTTGTGGTCGTTTTGTTGCCGCTCCAGGCGCAGAAAGCTAAAGGAATGGCAGAGGGCTTGACCACCCGAGGCCGCTGAAACGGGACGCCGCGACTTCGACCTCGGGAGATGTCAACGTCGGCCTCTTGAGCTTCCTGGGATGGGACTTCCAGCCAAAAGCGCAGATGGAATGTGAAAGCATCCCAAAACGACTTCCAGAGCTCATAGATTCGTTTTGCTGGTCCAATCCTATCGTGGCATTTGCCATCAAGCCGGCTTTAAGGGTTCGCAGAGGAGATGATGGCCTTGTAGAACACCGATATGTTGCCGATATGTTGCTGGAAGGCTTTTAGCATCTCACGTATTAGGACCATGCAAGGAAGCATCATGAAGGACTTGCCCGCTTCGACAGAGAGTTGAACAGATTTGAGAAGATGCTTCGACAGCCAGCTGGATTCGAGAACCCAAAGAGACTAGCAAAGGGTGGGTGTCCTTCTGTCATCACCTCAATTTGACGTTTGAAGGAACATGCCACACTGACAGGAACGATCGAAACTGCCAAACATAGAGAGATAAGTAGATAAATTCTTTGCGAGTGTTTTGTTCATGGGTCACTCACCTAATATGAACAAGTTCAGTCACTCCATTTCACCATCAGCCCTACCTCTACCTCTCAGCATTCTGCTTTGCAACATCAGCTGCGTGCGCATGCGATGCTTCACCGATTGACCACCGGAAACCGGTCGCGCCATGGAAGCTGACCGAGTGTTGACGGCCCCTCGCTTCACATTTGGACATCGACTGAGCTGAGGAGCCCTCTCGGGGCTCGAGGGATGAAGGAGGCGAAGTAGGGCAGAGCCTTCATCCGAGGTTAAGCTTTGTATGTAGACATTCCCGGTCCAGGTACCTCCTAAAAAGGATGGTCGAACGGAGGTGAGTTCGTACTTCGATCGGTCGAACTGGGGCCTGAAACAGGACGTCCGAGGAATGGTGCTGGACCCGTAGGGATTTGACTTTACAACTCTACGCCTCCGACCAGGTCCTCACAAGCTAGTTAGACCCTGGCACCTGCTCCAAGCACCTTCTCAGGAGTAGTGGGAGCCCTAGGCCCCCCATTTGGGATTGTAAAAGCCTCCTCTACCGCCCTCGCTTCGAGGCCACCGCCACACGCATCGTTCTCCGCCCCTGGTGGGAGGTCACGAAACGCCACTGTGAAGTCTCTGGTGTCACCAGCAGCAACATGAATCATGTGAGAGGAAAGAAGCCACAGAACGAAACTACAAAGGGAACACCCCCCACGTCACCCGCTGCTTTGAGAAGCCATTGACGAGGAGTTCACTGAAGCCTGCCAACTCATCCAAAGAAAAACGAAGCGCAGCACCAACAAGAGCGCCTTGAGGCAATGCTCTACCTTCTGTTTTCAGCCTGTATTGATCCGTGTGCCCTGGAAACACTCCATGCTTGGAGGTCTTATTCAGGAACACCAGCACACGCCTCAGCAGAGCAAGACCGAAGAACATACCCTCTTGTCCAAAAAGCATATGCAAACTCAACAAAGGCTGTGCACACGTCTGTGTGTACTTTCCACTCAAGGGTGAAAGTAAAGTTAATGAAAGTCTGTAAATCAGTTTGATCAAGTTTGGCCAACCAACCCTCAGGTTGGAACCGTCGCACAGACTAGGTCCACGTATACTGAGATGCAAGCTGTTGCCAGTCCCACCGGGGAAACCGCTTGCGGAAAAACGCAACTTTGTCGACAGTGTCATATGTGTCTTTAAGATCAAGAGTCTACATGAGGGGCATGTGTGGAGATGCGTGAGATACGTTGGACTACTTGAGCGCCCGCCTCCCCAAAAAATAAGGTGGTTTCTGGGACAGCATCCTACTTAGGCTGCCCACATGAGTAGGGGTCTCTCTTCCATTTTGCCAGTGGCTCACTTGACTTGTCCGTTCTCCACCCCTTGGATGGACGCAGATTCCATGCATGGTCGGATGCCAAGAAAGGGTGAATGAAGACCTTTGCAGCTCGAGAAATGCTGTGTGAGAACAGTGAAGTCCAGCTCAAATTCATAGCACACAATGGGCCATGCGGCTACACTACAGAAAGGTTCATCGAGCTTGGCAGAAATCACCATTTGGTTATCACCTTTGTATTCGTTGCCCTCAACGGTGCAGCCACTGCACCACTCAAAAGGTGATGCCAAATGTCATCAATGAACAAAATTAAATATATAATACAACTATAACTAATATAACTTAAAGATGACAAAAGAAACACGAGGGCTTCGCCTTTTGTTTGTCGAATCCGAGGTGGCACATCAAAAGCGGTTCACACTTTCAGCTTCAGGTAGAACGTTTCTACCACATTGGCCAAGGTGTCCTTGACAGACGGCCAAGATGGGAGGTCGGCAAGATGGCATGCTGAAGCTGAAAGTGTGGTTCCGCGTGGAAAAACAAAGGTGGAGAAGGCGAAACACGAGCGGAAAGGCCTGGACCTGGTAAGCATTGGTATACACCCTTTTTGGAAGCACCCCTTCACGTCCGGGCATGGGCGTTCGTGTTCTATTAGATTCTGTGAACTCCCCCCCTGGGCTCGACTGAGAACGATGAACGTGTCCCCAATAGAAACTCGAACAGACACATGCAGTGAGAAACGGTTTGACCCAAGCACCATGAATCGCCCAAGTACAATTCTTTCTCCAAAAGACCTTCCACCTCTTTTCCCTGGAAGGCCTTCTTTGTCTTCCCAAGTCGCCCTGCCTAACCGGAACCAACCAGAACTCCAAGGCCACGGAGCGCTTGGCGAAACGCTTGGGGAAGCCGGTGGCCAAGCCCAAGCAGAGCCCAGGTGGGGACATCGATCCAAACGACGAACGAAACACCTGCGACCCGTGGAGCCAACATGTGAGCGGATAGGACCGTCCGACTGCCGTGTGGATGGATCGGTGGATGAATGAAAGCTGGGGGGTCCTTTGGGGGAGTTGTTCTTTCAAAAACTAAAACTATTTTATAGAATTCTATAAAAACGGGGATTCTGGGGGCACGTAACCTTCACATGAAACCTACAGGCACCAGGACCAAGACCTGCGTCACCGGACTGCGGGGCACGTCCCGTCCACTCGCGCCCGCAGGTCTGCCAGTTTGGACGCCTGTGGAGCCCCTTGGCGCGGTGGGGCCGGGTGAGTGGTTTGTGGAGATCTTTGTTGGTCTTTTCCTTTAGGTACTGTGGCAGGGAATGTTGTTTGATGTTGGGTTCCTGAAGCAAACCCAAGTATACTATAGACATTACATATATATATATATATATCATATATCTATATTCGTCTAAGCCTATCATCAGTAAATGATGTGGCTGCTGGCTGCATGCATTCTGACAATATATACTTGTAGTTCGGTTGGCAGTTTTGATCAGATCATGGGACCTGGTCGAAGATCGCCCGATCGCCCAGAAAGAGCTCGTGGTGTTATCGTTTGGGCTCGAGCTCGGACCCCCGTGCTCGAGCCGATGATCGACTCCTGGTCCAAACAGATCGAATTTCAGCGATCTCAGTGGGGAAAGTCCCCCTGCCTGGCCCAATCAGCTCCAAAAAGTCGGTGTGCTGCACTGGTCCTTCTGGCAGCATGCACATCAGGAAGAGGCTGCCAGAGGTGCTGCAATAGATCGACAAAAGGATCGATCTCCTCACCATTTGTAGATTAGGACCTGCAAGGGTTTGTAGAAAGGGGACCCCTCCCTGGTGCAGCGACAAAAAGCCGGAAAGCTCGCTTTTCCTGCATGCCATGTGTTCCCTTTCTTTGATGTTTCCCAGGCCATCCATGGAACTGGAACAACGGCTAGACATTAACCCCATTGACGACCCTAATGTATATAATTAACATATTCCATGGCGTGGATGGTCAATCTGGTCATGTTTGGGTTCGGTTCGAACGCATCGCATCGCCTCTTCTCGGTGTCCACTTCGCTGAGGAAGAAGCAGCTGGAGCTGAAGCTGCAGAGCCTTCACGAGGCGGGAAACCTGCCAGAGATGAGTCGAGTTTTAGAGCGGCACGCAGCAAAATGAGGAATGGTGGAGAAATGCCTCAAATGGTTTGTGCCAGCATGTGCCACCCACTGTCAAATGATTGAGGTGCGTGAATTGGACTGGACCAGTGATGGTTTTTCCTTTCAGAACCCGCTGCTTGTTTGTTTGGTTCTTTCGTTCCTCCATCCACCCACGACACACGGCCGTCCTCGTTCTTACTTCGCCCGAGGTCTATGCCAAGAAGGTGGCGGAAACGGAGTTACAGTACGACAAGAAGCTCGAGGAAGCGGAGGCTCCTTCGTCTGACCCGGCTTCTTCTTCGCTCGAAGCGAAGCGAAGCGGCCGAACGACCGTCTAGGGGGGGAACCGTCTGTCTCAGGACGGTGCTCCCGTCCAAGGGAGCGGTGTTGCAATGCCTTATTATAGTGATCTCCCAAAAGAGAGACTAAACCCAATGAGATCATGAGATCAAGATGAGTGATCTCATCAGATCTGGGTTTTGCCCGAGCGATCGGTCATGGAGTTGCTGCGAAAGTGGTCCTACAACGATGGGACAAGTTGTTGTTCGGCCCTTGGTGTTGGGTTTGCCTCAAAGAAGCTCGACCATGCAAGATCTAGGAGGTTGAACTTTGTAAGTACCATGCCTGAAGCTGTTCCTTGGTTTCGGCCAAGTTGTGAGCCTACCCTCAGGTGCAGCCAGCGACGTGTTCACGTGTAAATCCAGGTTTCGGCCTTTGAGCCAATGGATATCCATGGATCATTGATCCAATTGAATTCCAAGCAACCAGTTAGTTCGCTGGCAGGTGACTTTACTCAAGGGGGAGCGTTTGCTGTATGCAAGCCAGCTTAGACTTGCTACAGCTTAGCTGTCATTCGTTTCGCGACCCCCATCGGAAACGACCCCCCATGGGGTCGCACCCCCAAAGGTCGCACACCCAAAGGTCGAATCAGGGCTTCTGTTAGATGCACGAAAGGCCCCGACAATTCCTATAGAGACAGACATAGTTTGAACCACCAAATGAAGTGAGTTGATAGACAAAATCCTTCACCTCGCAAAGATCTCAAGAAC